TGACTATAAAATAACGGAATCCATCTTAACCAATTCTATTGTTGTTGTTTACAAGAATGTACCTCAAGGTTCTTTCGTATGATACTCGTTTTACATTGGATATAAAAACAAGATATATTCATTTTAGTCACTTTAGATTAGTATTTTTTAACTTGGGAAATTTTAAAAATAACCAGTCGAACCAGTTCCTGATAAGCAAAATCTTTGTTCGACCGGCAGTGAACAGGTTGACAACGATACACATCAAACTCACTAGCAACAGGTAAGAGGACGCAGAATCAGTAAGCTCATGCTCAGAAGACCAAACTCACGGATGACTACTGAGGCCCTACAGCTACAAGACCCCAGATATCCACAATTATGGGATTACTACCGGGATACTCCTTGATAAAACACCTTCATTTGATGGGACACAATGGTTCCACCAAGTTATCTTCGAATACGGGGTCTATCTAGGCAGCGACACATTCTTTTCAGCCTAGAGCTGGAAAGAGCGCCCAAAAACATTTGGTAGAACCTAATAAAACGTAGTAAAACCAACCAAAGGCTATTCTATTTATATATAGTACCTGAATACGGGATAAAGCAGTAGAATACAGTAGATCCAAGAGATCGCAGTGTTATGTGCTAAATATAATCATATCTGCTTATAACTGAGAAAGATAAAGACAAGATTCATCGGTCAAGTCAATTCCTAAAAATAGTTACAGAGATGGTTTTTCATTAACATAATATTTCTCGATTTTATAAAAATAGTAACTTAAATTTGTTTTACTGAAGTCAATGGAGATCAGCCTCATACCAAATAATACAAGTTCGTGAGCTGGTTAGACGGCTATTGTTTAATGGCGAAGGTTCTGAATAATTTGAGTTCTGATGTGGTTCTGGTAAAGAAGATATGAGTGGAACTACATGAATTATTTCTACTAAGATTCACAGCTTCATCGTGGCTTTCTGATGAAGACTTGATGCGAGAACTTGATGAGATTCAACCGAGGTTACCTCTCGCTTTATTAAAAGATTCAAGGGTTGTTCGAACATGTACTGGTTTGGGGATTTACTTAAATTTTCCTTCTCTCCTATATCTAGATCTTGTGTTTTGGAACCATACTTGAACTACTTAAACACGAAATACTAGAGTTATTGCTATTTTTTCTAAGTATTCGCGTTTTGGTCGCGGATTTAATATATAATTGTCTTTAAGAACTTTAAGTTGTTCATCGAATACTAAAAATCTTACTCTTCAGAATTAATTTCGTTGTTAGTGATGTGCTGCATTCTATCGTAATTTTGAACCACACCGCTTATACTGAAGTAAGAATGCCAAAGAATACCATTCAGATTGTTCCAAAAACTAAATCTTTATAGGTCATCTTTCAACCAATATGGAAAAAACTCTCCCTATCAGGCCACGAAGTAACGGTAATCACACCAAATCCCCTTAACGATCACTCATTACCGAATCTAACCGAAATCGACGTTTTTTACACGTATAACGTCATCAGGAACTCTCAATACATCAAACACATGTACAAGGAACGATTGGTCCATAAAAGAATCGACTTTCTGACCGATTTCGGTATAGAAGTCAACGAGGTGTTTTTCGATGACAGGAATGTTCAAAGAGTACTCGATATGCCCAAAAAAAGTTTCGATATCATTCTGTTGCAACAGTCGCATATTTTGACGCTGGCTCTGGGATTTGCTGCTAAATTTGAGGCACCGGTAGTCGGTAAGTGTACTGAAGAATTAACAGCACATTAATTTAATTACCAAGGATCATTTAAGTAGGTACTGTCAAACTAAGCGAAAAATTTGCAACTATTTCTGATTCAAATTAATTTTCCTATTCTTGTCAATTGGTATAAAAGTAAACCACTCCTTGTTTTCATTGTATTAGCCTTGTGACGGGGTTGTACATTTTTCGTTTTATTTTTTAGATCAATATTAGTATTTTTGAATTTCGTTTACTAATTTTATATAGAGGGTATTTCCGATATTCGATTTAACGAGATTATCTCCAATAAAAATACAAAATAAGGAAGGTAATACAAATTTCTTAAGTTACAAGGAATTTTAAGGAAAACTATTCACCCTAAATAATTTTAAAGAAAGAGTTAAAATTGTAGGGTTCTATCATGTAAATAATTAATCTGCAAGAGCTACAGTCAGACAATTTAACGCAGCTCATACCGGAAGAACTGTAGCATATGTACGAACCTACCTAACGAAATTGCTATAAAGAATTGAAGAAACAGTATCAGTTACGAATAAAAAACATCAACCACCAAGAAGATATGGTAATTGCCGTTTTAGGACAACTTACGCTAGGATAGCAGCAATCAATATAACAAATCTCTAGTGTAGTGGGGTTTTTCTAGCTGCAGTGTTTTCAGAATTTTACATAAACACTAATGCCATCCTTATAAAATTAGTGCAAGAACTATATGAATACGATTTCGACTGTCGTCTACAGTTTTGTGAATTAATGAATCAACGACTTATTAAAAATCTAGATTTTTTTGTAGAATATCTGCTTTTCTGACAAATGACGGTTCACACTAAATAATAAGACATAATTGTAGATACTAAAAATAAAATGGCCCACATTACCTAAAGCGTAATTCATACTCAAACACCACCAAAGTTGAACGTCTAATTGGAATTCCAAGTGATCATATTTTTAGGATTGAAATTTATCTACAATTACTTAGAGAAGCTATTATTGGTTCCAAAATAACTTGAATACAGAAAAATAAGGAAAATGTCTGAATCTTTGCTGGAGATAACAAAATGGGGCACCTCCACATTACACTATCGAAGTACAACACGTTTTAGATCAATATTTCCTACTCGATGGATAAGCAGAAGAGGTCCAATAATGGAGTGACCACCTAGGTCATTAGATTTGTTCCCGCTAGACTTTTTTGTGGAACAACGCAGTCACAATCTGTAGATGATTTACGCCAGCGAATTCTTCAATGGTATCGACAAATAAATCCAGAAATATAACATAATGTACGAAAAGCATTTGAAGCTTGATTGTATCATTTTAAGGAAACCAATGAAAGTCAGTTTAATACTTATTAAAATAATTTGTTGAAAATATTTTCCAGTATTTTCTCTTGACCAAACTTTGCTATAATAAAGCCGTAGGATAAATAGTTTCTGACACCCTGTACATACGTTGTGTTAAGTTAAGTTAAGTATGGGGATATGTGAATCAAAGTATTATTAATGTATTTTCTGTAAGGGCAGACGATCTTAATTCCATTATTCATTATCATTAGATTTGTTTGAACAAGAGAAGTTGATAATAAAAAGGCACTTTGAAAATTGTATATACACTTACAGGTTCCCAGACAACACACCAAATCCCAGAGATATTCACAGAATATCTTTTGTGGATATCCAATATATCCACAGGATATCAGAAATATTCTGTGGATCTAATATGGATATCCAAATGTCCGTCTATATCCAGAATATAGAAGATATCCATGGATATATTCAGCAAAATATCTAATGAGTATCTTCCAGACAATACAAGAAATCCCAGAGATATCCAACCAAATGTCCGTCTTTAGCCCAGGATATAGAATTCAGATATTCAGCAAAATACTTTATAGGTATCTTTAGTAGAGGTTCATAAATAACCAATGATTATTGAACAAAGTCGAAAGAAAATAGAGATAAGAAATATTTCCAACAATCTGCCTTTAATTTTGCCCACTAAGGAAAAGTCATCCTTATTAGGAATCTTCAGCAATAAATGGAAATTCTCGACTCCAGCCTCTAATGGAGTCTGATTATCAAAATAATTTCGATCGAACTCAGTTACGGCGGGTTGATCATAAGTAGATACGAAAGTGGTATCGCCATCTATACTTAGGAAGCGAAATCAAAAATTACATCTAGTGGATAACCTCGATGGTTCGCGTCCGCGCTTAGACTTTGATATATTTAGTGGATGTCCATGGGATATTGAATACACCTTAAAAATAATTAATTTTAAATATCTGAACGGTACTATTAGCCACAATGGCGAGCACAATGGCGTAATTTTTTAATAATTTGCTATATAATTACTATTATTTATGGACATTTGCATGTCTATAAATTACATTTCATGGATATAAAATAGATATCCACCATGGACTGGACATTCAGTGGATATTGGGATGTTCAGTAGATATCCAAAGGATTTGGTGTGCTGTCTGGGTTAGGCCATACGCTCTAGGTGCACCCATATCTATTAATTGCAAAACAATATTTGTAAAACGTCAGAGAGCATCGTAATCCAAACGGTGAACATGTACAATTTATTCGTCACAATAGATATAACATAAATTTATTATTTTGTATCTATTTAATTTTTGCAGAATAATTTCATACGGATGGAGTTTTGCAAAATTATTAAGAATTGGCAGAATCAAAATGAAAACTTTTTACAAATACATTTTATTTACTAATGGCTGTTTATTCGCAGTACCTGTGACCTACATCCTATGGCTTGTATACTTTTTTCCTAATTTGCATATCCCTAACACGAGTATAATATTTGGTAACTCTGTAATAATGTGTTGCTATTCTATTGGCCGACAATAGTCTTTTAATACCAATTTTTTAGTTGCCAAATTAAACGGATGACTGATAGTTTTCTTAAAAAAATAAAGACCTTTATTGCATGTGTCTACGTAAATATGTAAATAAGTTGTTATAGTCCTTATATGTAATTTTAAATTTAAATGATTTCAACTAGTGGGTAATTAAATGGAAAATTAATACAATTTGGGTATTTAATCTACAAGTTTCATTGTTTTCGGTTGTATTTTTAATTTTTCAGTATCTTTTTTATGTCCTTTTTTTTAATATCTTAGTTATATGACCTGCATTTAATTCAAACTTATCTGTAAATAACATTGTAAAAATGTTGATAAATGGTTATCAAGAATATACAGGGTAGCGTATGATAGTTAAAAAAATTATTTTTGTTTTAGCCATATCTTCACTGGGCGTGTTTCTACATGCACACGATGCCGTTGGTAATCCCACCCATCCTGTCATTTCTCCAGACATTATGCTCAACTTTTCTGGAGAACTTTCATTTCTTGACAGGTATTCAAAAACATTTAAATTATAGCAATGGCAATAAATTATTAATACACATACTAACACCCAATTATATAATAATATGTAATGTCATAATGAGATATAGCAGGTTTACAATATTAGTAACATTATACAATTAAAAAATATATAAAGTTCATGTATTAAATCTAAATTGTTTTGGTTATAGAGTCAAAAGTTTCTTGTTTAACTTCTGGTACCGATTCCTCTACTACTATTATGCATTACCAAAGGCAGACAAGATAGCTAGGAAGTATTTCGGAGAAGACATGCCCTATTTGGGAGATATCGAAAAAAATATCAGTCTTATGATGTTAAACGTGAATCCTATTATACATACTGTTAGGCCCAATGTACCAAACGTTATAGAAATCAATCAGATGCATATCAGGGATAAAAAGCCGCTACCAAAGGTAAGGAAAATACTGACCAGGAAGAGATATAATAAAAATACCGTTAGTAATTCTAAAATGATTATTTTCTTGATTGCCTTTGATAAATTGTTCAATTGTTCATGCTATTACATTCTGAGCCAGATGTAAAAGAGTTTGTTCAGAAATAGTACTCTCCTACATCTTACCAGATGTTATTAAAAGAAGAAATATGTCTGATTTTAGGATCTTAAAGATTATCTAGATGCGTCACCTCGAGGCGTAGTGTATTTCAGTTTGGGATCTAATGTGAAAAGTGCCAACCTCTCTTCAAATATCAGACAAGAAATTATCGGCGCTTTAGGAGAACTACCGTACAACGTCTTGTGGAAATGGGAATCCGATTACTTGCCAGACCGACCCAAAAATGTGATGACCAGAAAGTGGCTGCCACAACAGGACATATTGGGTAAGTTCCGCAAAAATTGTAGAATAAAACTATTTTTACATTGGTATGCTGTTTATTTCAGGACATCCAAATGTTAAGGTATTCGTAACCCAAGGAGGGCTTCAGTCTATCGAAGAAGCCATCACCAATGAAGTTCCCATGGTGGGTATGCCGTTCATCACGGATCAGCCTTCAAATATTAAAAAAATTGAGGACCTTGGCATGGGTTTGAGTGTAGATTACAAAACTTTAAAGAAAGAACAACTGAAGAAGGCCATTATGGAAGTTGCAGAAAATACAAAGTGAGTCTATTTATTAGAAGATATTTTTCATTGAAATCAGTGTAATTTTTGTTAATTGAGAATGTAAGGTAAAATGTATTCGTAGATATTGTACATACTGTATCTAATAACATAATTTTTGTAGGTACAAGGAGAATGTACAAAAGTCTAAGGCCATCTTGGTCGACCAACCAATGAAAGGCGTGGAAAAAGCTGTATGGTGGATAGAATACGTCATTAGGCACAAAGGAGCTAAACATCTACGTAGTCCAGCAGCAGACATGTCATTTTTCGAATATTTTATGGTAGACGTAGTATTGTTTCTAGGTGGTTGCGTAGTTTTAGCTCTATATTTGGTAATAAAAATTGCATCTTTAACGAAAAACGTCACAAAAAGTACCAAAAAAGTAAAAAAACATTAAAGTGTTTTTTAAAAATAAATAAATTAGAATAATTGCATTATGACAGGCACGTATTTAGTATATTTTTTAGAGACCTTATTTGTCAAAGGTCAAAAAGTAGTGAACATCTATTCATCCCAACAAATAATGTACCAAACTATATTTCATGCATAATTGATTTCTCGCTTGTCAACTGCCAATTTTTAACTATTTACAACCTTATTCAATGCTTATTTAATATGTATGGGATACGTGTTTGAACTTCATTTCACGCTTATCAATTAATGCTGTGAAAATTTTTGAGAATCCAAGTTAGGATTTTATAATTTTTCTTTATAAGGTTTTATTTTTTTTAATATCCATTTAAATATTTGGATAGTTTATTACTTAAAATTATCTATATATTGTGTGGTTTATTTTGAGTGATACTCTTTTCGTTTGTGTGTAAATACTTTGTACTTTTAAGCCTTTTAATATAAATAAATAAACGAAACATTTTGTTTTATTTCATTTTTCTGTCTACTTGAGTTGTGCATTACAGTTTTACAGTACGAATCACTAACGAAAATCTACAAAAATTTAAAAATTAATTTAGATATTAAGATAAAATAACTATTTTAAAAATTATTTATGACTTTTAAGACTTTTTAATTAGTCTTCATCCTGGAATTAAAACCCGGATCTTTGGAAACTCAATACTATATCTTTGCGCTAACGAAACAAATAATTTATATTTATAATACTAATGATTAGATTGATTTTTGATAGTTTTTACGATTTATTTGTAAATATAGACCAATAACTTCACAAGAATCACTCATTTTTAATTGTATTTAATCTTAATAACTAAAAATATACTGGCAATTAGTTTGACAGAATTTTTACTTATTTAAATTAAAAAACATGTGATTGTTGCATTTCATATCCGTACAGTGTCCTTAGCACAGTGTATATATAGTATATTACATTACGAGTGTGGAAAGTGACATTTTTCACACGAGTGGGAAATATTGTCGCACGAGGCGCAAGCCGAGTGCGACTATCACACGAGTGTGAAAAATCACTTTTCACACAAGTGATGTACAATATTTTTCCTACGACCACAAAATAATATCATCAAAAAAATGTAAAACCAAGGTTATTATTACTATAATAATTAAAATGTATTTAAAAAAATAATCAACAATAATCGTATTTATTCCATTTTCATATTTTTTAAACAAAAAAAAACTAGAAAAAAAATAAAAAAAAACAAAAAAAAAAACAAAAAAAATTGCTGCCACGCCAGGATTTGAACTATCGATTTAACGCGGTCGAAAAATGGCAAAGTTGATAAGTTCGACGTCCTAACCACCTGAGCTAATAGCCCTTGTGTCAATTGAATGATCTAATCGATTATGTATTTAACCAGAATAAAGAGCAAATATTATTTTAAAATTATTTTAATAATAATTGTTAAAGATAAATATCTAGGATCTAATTTACAACAATTTCAATAATTTAACAATCATATCGATTTTAGTATTAATATGGATATTACATAGATCAAAATAGAAATTAGCTGTTTGACATTTTGTGACAACTACTGCGGAAAGTAACATATTCTCACTCGGGTGGAAAGTAAATTCTTATTCATACGCGTGTGATATAGGGCACTTTCCATAGGACTATATAGTGTGATATGTGTCACTTTCCTAAGTGGTCATAGGAAAAAATTATTTCCGTTCAGTAGTACTCAATGGCCTACTTTTTCGTTCTGTAATATGTGCGTAGAATAGATAATATCCAAGCGGGTGTAAAACATATAATATCATTACTAGTTAAAATGAAATTTTTAAGATAAAAATTAAAATAATAAAGAAAAGCAATACTCACCACCTAACTGTTGAATACACCCGAATATTGCAATAGCAATACCTCCCACAAATACAGGCCTGCCAATGGCAGCTATAATGGAAGCAACGACCGGATTGTGATCACTCTCATTTGTCAAAATGTACCAACCCGGTATAAGAATTATTCCCAACGGTAGTAGATAGGAAAAGAAATAAGTCAGTATTTTCCACATCAGTCTCTAAAACAAATTTAAAAATATACATAATGGTTCAAATTAAAGAACTACATATTTTAAATATCAATAGCTTCTCCCATTTGCAAACATTTTTAGATGATGATAAACAGATTATGTTTTTAATAAAATTAGATTTTACTAAAAATAAAACATGACTAGAGTGATATCCGTTCAATTTTACTAACCTTTGTTTGAAATAACTTTACATTCTTATATTTGTAAAGAATATAACCGAATCCAACACCCAGTAGAGGTCCCGAAGTATTACCAATTGCAGACAACATCTGCCCATGCCATTGTGGATTGCCAACGATTATTTTCAATTGATAAATAGTCCTAAAATATTTTTAATTTTATAAAAACGATGCTATATCATTAAAAATAAAAACTTACTCTGCTCTTGGTATCATAAGTGCTTCAAAATCGTTTATGTAATTCTGAATGTAGGTGCCAAAAATGTTCAGGCATAATAGAGTTCCTAAGATGTACCAAATTTGTTTTTCGTACTTTTTGAGGTACCATAGTAATATTAAAATCAAAACGAAATATTGTGTGTCCAGGGCAAGATACCAAAATGTTGGAGTGCACTAAAAATCAAGCCACTGTTTAAAATGTTACCAATAATAAATATTTAACCAAGAAAACACTATGTTATTCTTGTGTTGTTCGTTAAAATTAGAGAACCCTAATACTTACCATATTGTTACTATCTATAATGGTATTAACAAAAAGTAAATTTGTCCACCAATTTTTTCTACATCTCAAATATTGCGTTCCTATGATTTGATACCAATTCGGGCCGTTGCCTAGATGTCGCCACCATGTAGCGTTGAAGAGAATCACCACACTCAAAGCTGGTACTAACCTAAAAAGATATAAATATAAAACAAGCGAAAGAGTTAATAACAGTCATTACTGGAAGCTAAATACTATTTTTTATAGCTGTTCCTACTCAATTCAAATTTTATACCAATCTCAAAAAATTCAATACACAAAAACCATTTTATGAAAAACGAAAATTACATATTTTTTTAGAGTTCGAGAAAATCCAAGAAATCTACTTACCGGATGTATCTTTGAACGAAGATCATCACCAAAACGCTTTTCGTCATTCTCCTCGTATTGAATTGGTTAAATATACCATACGTCAGCAAAGCAGCTGACATAAAGAAAAATGTTGAAACGCAAAGTGGTCCGCTGGATAAGAAGGAATTAGCTACCTTGGTGTTCATCTAAAACGAATATGAAAATGTTCTGATATTAATCAGTCATTCAAGGAAAAAACGTTAATTTAATTAATATAAGCAAATATAATTCATTTCCTTAAATAAATAAATAAAATATTTTCAAAGTCGTCACTTCCAATACATTTTGAACATTTGTAAACCAAGATAATACGTCCCTCTACTTTAGCTTGTGTATAGTAAACAGTTCAATGTTCAATAAGGTCAGAATATGTCTTAATCCCATTCTATCTGAACAAACAATGACTCCCTCAGTAAAATTAAGACGCTGATATCATCGATTATGTAATTGACTTCGGTATAGGTACAGGAAAAACGCAAAAGCATACCAATTTAAGCTTTTATGTGTCTCACTAGAAACAGCAATGTATCCTACTTTCATGCTAAACTTATTAAGAAACAAAATTTAAATTTTCCGTTTCACTCTGCTTAAAAGAATGTTAAAGGAAGAGAAAAAGCGGTCATGAATTATTTGAAAATCGGTAATGCATCTTTTAAATATGGTTATCAAGCTTTCAACCAATTAGAAGGCACAGACGTCCAACTTGGTAACATTTCTTGCGCCGTTTGTTTCATTGTTGTACAGAGTAAAAAACAAATTAACATGAAATATTAAAAATCAGTCATAGTTGAGTCTAGACTTGTATTGATTAAAATCATTTGTTAAAAACTACTAGTATTCGTAATTCAGTTCAACATTTGTAAATACTCTTGGTTAAACGTATTTTATTATGTTTGTTTCAATCTTAAAATATAAAGTAGTATGTATTCTAAGGTTCCAACAGATAACTTTGTACCATCCTCTGTACGGTCACAAAACCACTTGGATCAATTTAATGATCATTGATTGTTTCTGTGTTATTTTTTCTAACCTTACTTTAGTTCATAGACTAACCTTAGCCTTGGTACCAAGCCACATAGGTTATAAGGACAACGAAGAGGCTGATTTACTTGTCCGAGAAGGAGCCTCAAAGGCTCTTATTGGCCCAGAACCTATCTGTGGTGTTACAAAAACAACTATTAGAACATGCACAAAGCAGTAAATATTTAAAAAATCTTAAAAATGGTGGAAAAATTCACCAGGACAAAGACAGGCCAAAAAGTTCTCTAAACTCATCGAGCATTTACTACTACACGCTCCGATGTGGCCTGCAGGCCAAAACATACAGTTCTGATCTAAAAGCAAGATTTAAGCAGCTTATTTTACTCTTCATCTTTACATTAGACAAAAGAGGAGAGGCAAGATGTGGGTCAGATCGAGTACTTTAAGGACTGAATCGATAGACTGTACAGTTCAAATCTCACAAAAATCGTAGCGTGTAGGGCCTCCATAAGCCTTAATAAGCAAAATACTATAGAATTAGTAGGTGCCGATTCTGTTAGGAAGAGGACGAAACTGCAAAACACGTATTGTGCTACTGCGAAGGTCTATAATTAGGACTGAGATTCCTTACACTTGGAGAAGAAAAACCAAGTACAACTAACTAGCTATGCCCGAGAATTAGACAAGGTACTCTAAACAAGGATTAAAGGATGATATTCTTAATATTATGAATCGAGGTAGGGGAGACCACATGGTCCACAGTCCTAATTAAATCTAAAAATCTACTTTAGATCAGCACCAGCACCATCAATCCTAGCCCAGATGAACTAAACAATTATTTCGTAAATGTAAGTAAAAATATCAAATCTAACATAGCTCAGAGTCAGGATGCTCTCTCCTTCCTCCTACCTACTAAAAGGATCACTGAAAGTTTCTTCCTAAGACCAGTAGACAAGCATGAACTAGTGCAAATCATAAACAGCATCCAAAATAAATTTTCCTGTGGAATTGATGGCCTGTCCACCAAAATATTTCTAAATATACCGGATGTAGTAATCAACATTTTAACTTCACTGATTAATGAATCCTTTGAAATTGGTCTCTTTCCTAACTGTCTAAAAACAGCTATAATAATCCCACTTCATAAAGGTGGCGACAAAACCAAAACCTGTAACTATAGACCTATCGCGTTATTGCCTACCTTATCGAAGATAGTAGAACGGCTAATGAAAAACCGTCTTTTGCCCTTTCTTTTCAAGCATAACATCCTCACAGCTCATCAGTATGGCTTTCTACCTAAAAAATGCACTAGCGACGCAATGTTTTCCGTTCTTAATGAAATATACACATCACTTAATGATAAACTTTTCACCGCTTCAGTATTTTGTGACTTCGCAAAGGCCTTCGATTGTGTAAATCATGATATTTTAATTAATAAGTTACAAATTTATGGCATACGGGGTTCTCCTTTACAATGGTTTAAAACTTACCTAGAAAATAGAAATCAACAGGTGCGGGCGAATGGTGAGGATTCTACAAATCTAGCAATAAGCAGTGGAGTACCTCAAGGATCAGTATTAGGTCCAATTTTGTTTTTATTATTCATCAACGACATCACAGACTTAAGAATAAGTGGTAGAATTACTTTGTTTGCTGATGACACCAGTGTAACCTGGAATAATTCTAACATGCAGACATTACAATCTATCATAAGTGAAGATCTAGTGACTATTAAGTCTTGGTCTGATTCGAATGGACTTTGTTTCAACACCAGTAAAACTGTAGCATTGTCTTACAGAGGTACTTTACAACCTATAACTTTAAACAATAATCTGATCCAAACGGTGACTTCAATCAAGTTTTTAGGTCTTTATATAGACGATTCTCTAAAATGGTCTGCTCATATAGATACCTTAGCAAAAAAATTATCCTCCGCATGTTTTGCCATTAAATCGGTTTCTAAAGAGCTGACTCCTTCTACTGCATTAATAACCTACTTTTCCTTATTCGAATCTCACCTTCGCTATGGTTTACCTTTCTGGGGTTCTTGTAGCTTATACCTTTTCGAATCTATTTTTAAACTGCAAAAAAGAGCAATCCGCTATGTATTTGGTTTAAGTAGTAGGACACATTGCGAAAATTACTTCAAAAATTTCAAAATTCTAACCCTTCCTGCTCTATTTATTTTCGAATCCGTCTGCTTAGTTCGCAAGCACATTCAAAATTTATCCGAAAGACCGACTCGTAGATATCCTACAAGAAATTTAGAGACTGATGTTTATTTAACAATGCCCACTTCTGACCTATTAAAACATTCCATTACCTACAATGCCAAAAAATTGTATAATAACCTTCCGATGCAATTAAAATCTATAAATACATACGATAAGTTCCGAAGACTGGATAAAGCTTTTCTTCTAGAAAGACCATATTACACAGTAGCAGAATTTTATAACGTACCTTAGACAGTTGAGTTCCACATACAATGGCATTAATTAAATAATTAAATATTAAAGTTTAAATTTAAATTTAAATTTAAATTTAAATTTAAAAATTAAATTAGAATAATTATAATGACGGATATTGCATATCCATTGCAATTGTTATTCCTATTTTGTCTGTTTGTTTCTGTTTGTTTTTTCTGCTGTTTAGTTATTTTTATAATATGTTTAGTATTTAAGTTACACGCTTTGTCTATAAAATTTTTGTAAATTTTTTTACGACAATGAAGCATCTCTCTCTCTCTCTCTCTCTCTCTCTCTCTCTCTCTCTCTCCCAGATGCAAGACGCAATAATAAACAAATATCAGCTGTCAGCCATATATAAAGCCATATAAAGGCATATACAGTAATATTCACCATAATCGTCATCAGAGAGTTAACTTTTGACAGTCTGTTAATGTTCTTCTTTGGTATTCACCAATGATGGTTAGAGCTTGACGGATAATTAAAGCCTCTGATAATTTAACAGAGGAAATTCAGGCTGTAGTTAGATTAAATAATGTGATGTTAGTTGAAGAATGCTCAAATTCACATGTGGGTCTAAGCTGTTTCTGCTTTTAATCAGGTACCGAAATGATCATATGAAAACCAATTCATGGAAGGCCCGAAGTTAGTTGGAACGCTTTACTAGGATTATGTAGTTAATGTATCTACTGCGCAAAATTTTGACGATACAAACGTAAGGGTTTTGTTACTCTGTTAGAATTATGAAGAGTTGAAACAAACTAATCAACATATCTAACATCAAAAACACAATCCACCAGTTGATAGCTAGATATCAAGAACATGAACATCAATAAAAGATACCAAGGTTTCTTATAGACGACATCGGTACAGGAAACCATTTTCCAATGAAGGATACGGAGTTAACTGTTCCAATTCTATTCAATTTAGTGTTTTAAGTAAGCAAACAACTAAAACATTCAATGACCATTGATAAATTTATAACAAAATAACGACTTACTTGTTCTACATATTTCGGATTCACCAAAGGCATCATCGTACTGGCCAAAGCTGTATGGCTGAGTATCACCAAAATTGTGTTATAAAATCGCACTCCCTGTAGTGGTTTAAGGTACTCAACTTCTAAAGTTTCTGCGACGGTTTTTAGACGGTACCAATTTTTTGACAGAGAGAATGAAATAAGAATTTTGCCAATTTTTGAGTTTGAGAACATTTGGTATTCCTCCGGAAGTTGCGACTTCGCATATAGGTCATAAAACGTGCATAAGAAGACAATCACAATGTAGCTGGTGAAGAATAACCTAGAAAGGAATTAGTTGTAGCGACCTAATTAATATAGTCTTCTACATTAGACCTTACTTGGGTCTTAAATAGCTTAAGACGGATGGATAGAAGGGGATTTATATTTTCTTGCTCTAAATAAGTAAGCCAATTCTTTTCATGCCAAATTGTTACTGTCTGGGGATATGGGATATCAAATACACGGCGACCTAAAAGACCTATTGTTTCTTTTATGTTATGAGGCTAAGGCAGCAAGGGAATAGTCTCGACGTCTTTAATGGCGCGTCCAATCCTATCTTACCAAGAAAGTTTAGGATTGTGAATGGCTGCAAGTTTTTTATCTTGTATGCTTTCAAGTATAATGCCCTTGAATTCTGTTAGAAAATGAATGAAGTTTTTGTGTTCTTTTTCTTACAGAATCTACACTCACTATCTTCTACTAAAGTGTCCTTTGAGTCGGCAATGCCAGTCAATTAAACAGGCTAGTATTTGTACGTTCGAAGTATTAGCTCTCGAAAAAGAAGATATTAACCCTTTTGATCCTTAAGAATATCGTTAAAAAAATGAACACTTCAGACCCAAGTATAGAGTCTTATGGTACATTAGAACTCCTTGAAACATCGAGAACGTATTATATTCGGCCAATAAGGTACAATATTGAAGAAATCAACATTACTTAGACTGATAGAATAAAGCGTATGAGCTTTAAAACTTCTTTTCATTCTACTAAACATCGATGTACTTTTCAACCCTCTTCTAGGCCTAAATACGAAAATAGGGCACCTAAATCGGTCACTATTTGACGGTCTAATAAAAAAAATGTCAAAAGGCATTGCAAAAAAAGGATACAAAGGTGTATGGGTGTGAATTAAAGACGGAAATAATGAAGGAATGTTTGGAAGAGCAGATATTAGAAGTCTATATTAGACGTACTTACAGAACAATCTTATCCAACCAATCCACTGGATATTTACCCTCGTTGGTATCGCATTTCAGGTTCTGCACTTTTCCTTTTAAACTATAATGCGCCATTTTTTTATCATAACATTCATTGATAGCTTCTTCTAGAGACAAATTTGTATTATTTACGGATATTTCTTTGTAATTGGGACAGGTCAATGGAACGCAAATCCAGTGGCGTAGATTGTCGTGTTTGTAATTGTAAGGGTCAGATGAAACTTCCTTAAAAAGTAAAATAAAAATACCCAATATTTTCTTACAATATAGTTGTAAATGTTAGTATCGGCACAATTTCTTTTTAATGTTATAGGTAATTTTGACTTACTTGTATTATCCTCCATATTGCATTTTCTTGTATTGGTTCTAAATGATATTCAAAAGAACAATATAAAGCTTTGTCTTCAAGTAACATGCAATTATCGTAATTATCTTGATGAAATATGGGTGGCATAGTGGCATATTCTTTGTCTAGAATTTTTTAAATCATTAAGTAACACATAAAATATTTGTTTTAAAGGTAAAAAACTATGAAAAATGTATTTAGTTCACACTATGATTACTAATTTAATAGTTTTCTTCTATTCACTTACCTGTAACACTAGCCATACACTTTTGTTGAATTATTAGGATCCAAAAACCCAAAAATAAAAATGTATCTTTCATTTTTATTATGTTTTTACAAAAATATTTTGATACAAAGCGTGATTTTCCTTAACTGAATTAGGTTTATGCTATTTTTATTTCTTGACCCTAATTGTAAATGCGAATTTCTTGTAAAGATAACGTTAACACTTGTTCACTTATCCTTACATGAAATTTTTTTGATATTTTTAAAAAATGATTGCATTTTCGCATCAATGGAAATTTATTTATTTTTTTAGATAAAAATATCATTGATTTAAAAAATAAGAACTTTAAAAATGATTTTTATATAACCTTATATTGTTATTTTTTAGTTAAATGGTAATTAAAAAGAACCAAGAGAGGTTAAAGGAACCAAAAGGGGTTAACAGTGTCTACGTAGCTTAGATTAGATGTTTTTCCATGAAAAATCCAAAAAGTTAAAAAGTTCAAAAAGTTCAAAAAAATTCAAAAAGATCAAAAAAGTTCAAGAAAGTTCGAAAAAGTTTGAAAATGTTTAAAAAAGTTTAAAAAAGTTCAAAAAAGTTCAAAAAAGTTCAAAAAAGTTCAAAAAAGTTCAAAAAAGTTCAAAAAAGTTCAAAAAAGTTAAAAAAAGTTTAAAAAAGTTCAAAAAAGTTCAAAAAAGTAAAAAAAAGTTCAAAAAAGTTAAAAAAGTTAAAAAAAGATAAAAAAAAAGTTAAAAAAGTTAAAAAAAGTTAAAAAAAGTTAAAAATAGTTAAAAAAAGTTAAAGAAAGTTAAAATAAAAGTTTAAAAAAGTTCTGCCTATGTAACTGGCATAACAATCGCTGCATTGCAATTTTCACACTCCATTCTTGACTAAGATGTTGGTTTTATTTTTAGTGTTGACTAAATGGAAATCTAATACATTGATTAATTTAAACGAAACAAATATTAATGCTTGAATTGCTCAAATTACTACTGGAAAATATTTTTACAAGGGTGCGAAAAATGTCATCTTTCTACAAGCATTTCAGTTTAGATTGATGTACAGTCTCGCACTAGTGAGGCAAAGTGATTTGTTTTATTTACTTTCTTTCACACATCAGTGCATTAGTGTCAAAAAGAAAATATTTTTTATTAGAAAGTTTCAGACAAGTAATAGCGCGGAGAAGTTAATTTTTGTTTAAAGAGAGACATCCTATCATATCAAATAATCATTGAAATTATAATGATTTTTTGAAGACCTAGTGGGATAAAAACTATTTTACATATTATAAAGCATGACACTTCATTTGAAATTGACTTCTTCAGGCAACAACAGTCTCGTGTGGAAAAGCTTCACTTTCCGCTCTTATTAGGAAAATAACTATAACAACATTGCATTCTTATTTATTAAGGATTTAATTCAAAAAATAAGTTCTCGTTAACATTGACACTATAGAACACATTTGCTTCTTTCTATTAAATTCCATATCATTCGGATCGTTTGATGTGAATCCAACTGCTACTTCTCGATTGACGCACGTCAAAATTGACAGCAAGTCTTTGCTGACGTGGTGTTGTCGCAACTGACGCACTAACGCTTGAATGAAGTAGCTTCCTTTCAGTGGGTCGCGCCAAGCGAAATAATCTGCAATTAAAATTCGTTTTAACCACGATGAATGATCCAACAAACATTTTGTGTAGAGAAATATAAGGACCTGTTACCTTCCAATTATAATGGTGGTCATTTATCTTTTATAATTAACCAGCCATCAAATTCAGTTAATAGGCCTTCATTTTCCCTTTAATGTCTATAAATAAATTCATTGGTAATTAATAGCCTATTGATGGGAAGTTAACGGGAAATTACAGGCTATTTACCATATTAATACTGACTGCTGAATAACCAGGCACATTACTAGAAGGCGATTCGTTAGTGCCTCTTTGGTCAGTAGTACCCTTTAAACTATAGATTCTATACTAATACAGAGGACATTTTATTTAATTCAGCTATGTAATAATATATATTTTTTCTCTATTAATATTTTATAATAATAGAAAAAAAAATATAATAATAGAAAGTATATTCATAAAATATTCTAAATTAAAAACATGTAAAAGTAAGATACATATTACAATGAATATTGAATACCAGCAAACGGAATCTGGCAGAGCATAGCACGTGTCCACTCGTTGAGTATGTAACAAACGATCATCAACGTCCATCCATGAACGCGGTATGGAGCCCTCCTGGACTATAGGGGGGTAGGTCGGCGGTAGTTTGACTTTTACCATGCTTTTACCCAATACAGTTTTTTACCCTTCACGAGGCTGTCATCAACCAATATAATGTTGGGCCACTATCGAAAGGCCAAAAGTAGGCTGTTATCTTTTAATCGTCGCATTAATTTTTCCTTCAATTACAACAAAAGGCCATCAATATCCCGGCATTTCATTGTTTGTTGGGGATAGTTATTCTAAGTATTTAAATTCTCTGAAAAATGTGGCCCTAAACTGAGCATAGTTGTTAAAAAACCGCTAGAGGTTGTTAGTAAATGGTGTGCTAAATAAAAACAAATAATGGCGGTGAACTGTCAAAAATATTGAATTAATTTTTATCAAGTGAAAAATACATCTTAATCAAATTGTTTAACAATAATGATAATTATTTATTCAAGTGTACTATTTATACATTTATACTGAATATAACAAACGAAACAAAAAGTGAAAATAATAATCACATAACCCATTATTTCTGAATCTTTGAACATAAAATAACCTTCTGCCGTATATTGAAATTTCTAAACCACTCTAAAAATATTAGTTGATACCGGTAGCACAAAATCCATTTTAAAGCCCTCAATAGCAGAACAATTTTATCCAAGTAATATTTATCATTCAAATATATCACTTTCCACTTCTTTGGGTACTAAAAATATCAAGTATTAAACAGAAATACCAGCTCTCAGGGAATTTATAATAATCACGTGTGAACTTTTCTGTTTGCTTTTACCTTCGACAGTGGCGTACATGACCAAAAAATCAGCCATAACCGGAATGGAATAGGAAAAGTTTGATTTTACTGAATCGGTATCGATACGAGAAACTTCTACTCCAGGATCCGTTTTGTCTCCCCTGCATGCCTAAAAATAATGTAACTATAGAGGAGAAATGTTTGAAAAATGCTGTCAATTACCTGTATGAAAAATAACTTTGGTTTTCCTGCTAGACTCTGGCAATGTAATGGAGAAAATTTACTCCATAATTTCTTCGTTTGGTAAGTCCTATCTTTGGCGTAAATTCTTCCATCTTCTCCATGAGACATGACAGCTATTAGGAGACATTCAGAGTTGGTGTGATCCATTTTTGATACTAAAAATTATTCAAAAATCAGAATTATAATTATTCTTAAACTGAAAAATTTACAAACCAAGTAAAGTACCTGGATCTAATCCTAGATACCAAACTTTCTTGCAAAAAGTGCCCAATAAAAGAAAAATATCTCTTATCACCAAGGGGGGGCATGAAAACATAGAAGTTATAAAACCGAAAATGGTCGACGGTTGCCAAAAATAAAGAAGAAAACATTCTGAATATCTTCTCAGGAATACAAGCTGGCAGCTACAGCTCCTATAAAAGTCATTCTAATTCCATTGAATTAAAGAATGAGTGCATACAAACTGGACAACAAGTAGAACCCACTGGAAAAATATAAAACATTCCAGAATAACAAATGAGATAAATAATTACATGCTACTCCATCTAACTTTTAACATACTTTTCCAAATCGATTGATACTGGAACGAAATAAATCATGAGATAGAAAAATGCTTACTTAAGGGTCTTGAATGGTATACGTATGGATCTAAAAGAAGCAATAGAACAGATTTTGACGTACAACTAGTTGAATATGAATGCGACATTAGCCTTTCATTGAGAAAACATACTGATGTATTTCAGGCTAAATACAAGAAGCAACCATCTTGTTTCTTATTTCTAAGAAAACCAAAAAGCCTTAAAAGACCTTACTTCAAACAGAATCAAGTCAAAGCTGGTCTAGGATTGCTTTGGAATACTTAATGGTCTTGCAACCCGTAATAAGGTTAAAGTAGCATGGATACCGGGATATAAAAGTACCGAAGGAAGTGAAAATTCTGATAAGCTCACCGATGAAGAATCAAAACTAACATTCATAGAACCCGAACCTGTATTTGGGAGAAGCGAACCATTTGCTGGACAGACAGGTGAATTGCTATTAAACATCACTGGCAACAGATAAGAAAACCTAGAATTAATAAACTCAAGAACAAACACACGCATGGCTGCCGAGGTAGTACAATTTGTAAGGTCCCAGATATCCATCATTGTAGGATATCTAACGGGATACTGCTTGCTAAAACAGCTTCGTGAAACACACGCATGGATTCCGAGGTACTACAGCTCGTAAGTTCCCAATTGTGGGATATATTAACAGGACACTACTTACTGAAATACCTTCGTGTGATAGAATTACACAATGATCTCATCATGAGCATGGAAGAGGAAGAAACCTCATATCCTTCAACTGCGAAGCTCTTGGAGTCGATCCGGCCAAAGTTCTTCAAAAACACTTGGTAGATAACTAATCAAATACACATAGTCCAGTCATTATATAGTAAGTTCACCTCGGAATTCGAGATACCCAGCTGTAAGTCTGTAAATACTTGTACATTGACACCCTAAACGTTGTCTCAAAACCTACATATGGTAGGGTGTACGCAACTATTAAATTTCAAGGTCAAAGGTCACAAAAATCGGTTTTTTGCGCTTTTTTTGTAAATATCTCATTTCCTATGGGTTTTTTGCCATTTGTATTTATTATCAATATTGTAAAATACAAAATTCTCTACAAATTTTGTTTAAAAAAAAATTTTTATACGGTGAACCGTTTTCGAGATAGAGGGCGGAGAGCGCGCGGTCACAGCATCACTTTAGGTCAACTGGTGCCTCCGGTCGAAAACGCGCCATATATAGTTGATGAACTATCGATAAATCAATGATTATAAATATTTGTCTATTTTTATTAACTATTATATTATATTTTATAATTTTTTTTCCTAACCTATCCACTTTTTATTCAGTATTAATTTATTTAACAACACTTACCTGCACATGTAATTGCAGAATTGTTAATGAAAATATAGGAATTATATTTAAATTTTAACCTAACTAATATTAATAACTTCTTATTTATTGTTTCGGCCTTTACTTGATGAAAATCCATTTTATCTTGAATGAGTAAAACCAAATTTGGTAGATTTTCACAAAACTTTTATTTTAAAAAAATAAAAAATAATAAAACACATGTCATGTGTAGTGTTTTTAATTTTTATTTTTTATTTTTTTAAAATAAAAGTTTTGTGAAAATCTACCAAATTTGGTTTTACTCATTCAAGATTAATAACTTCTTACATGATGAAAAAAAAAAAAACAAATAAATTATGAATTAATCTTTTTATTAAAAAATATTATTCAATACATTTATTTTTATTAAAAGTAAAAAAATGGAATAAAGGTTACAAAAACTACAATTTATAATTTTAATCATCTTCTTCCTCTTCATCGTCGTCTTCTGGCTGCTGGTAAATTTCAAACCGGTCTTCATTATCGTTTTCAACGACATTTGTCTCAAGTTCTTCCATGCTTTCGGGGTCATAGGTTCCATCTTCGTTAATGTCGCTCTGATATGGTAGAGCATTGAGCAAGCTTGCCCATTACATTGGCCACAAGCTAAAGAGCATTGCAAGCCCGCTTTCCTGCATCCGCATAGCGAACCACAACCTCTCTTGCAGTTGCAGAAAATTGTATTTAGCAAATCTTCCGGAGCAGGTGGTAAAATTGTCATGTAGGCTCCAGAAAATCGTTTCGCATTGCCCAACCCCATACCTGTGGTTCCAAATCATGCCCTAACCAAGTTTGAACTTGGTAATATGCAGGTTTGAAATGTTGATGAGCAGCTGCACTTGTTGGTGGAATATTTGAAAGCTGCACAGATTTATTAAGTTTTGTAGACTTGACGTAATGCATATAATGAAGATGTTCGAGACTTTTCACAGATTTCGAAGCATTATAGACTGCCAATAAGGTTTGAGTTTCACTCTCTAATAATCTCTGGGCCGAACAATTTTCTTCCTCAAATGCTGCAGCTAGTTCATCCAAATTTGTCAGTTTCTCAAAAACTTTTAAAAATGATTTTTTCCCTTTTTAAAAAGCGCAGAAGTTGTGTCACAGCCACTTAATGCATGCAGAAATAAAATATGTGTTTTGGAATGAGGATAATTATCAAAACTTTTAGTCGAGTATATCTCCTTTCCCAACTTTTTTAAAGAAAATTTCTTGTTCGTAAGACAGTCTACGCCCAATTAAAATGACAAGTAAATCAATATCTTGTTTTATTATAACTGCAGTTTTTTCAGACTTTGAATCTTCAATTGCAGTTTCAACAATAAGAACATCCGCATCATCTCTGGCTTGTTTAGTAGTAATATTTGCAGCTTGTAATTTTTCAATTAACATATTAATGAGCATATCTTTGTTATTTCGATTTGATAAGAATTTTTCTTGAGTAACTGGTACAACCATTGTTTTATCGAAACAGACTTTTTGAAAGTGCAGTTGTTCTTCTCTGCTGCTCCATAGCTTTTACGTTCTTACTGTAGTCTGAATTTTTTTAAACAAAATTTGTAGAGAATTTTGTATTCTACAATATTGATAATAAATACAAATAGCAAAAAACCCATAGGAAATGAGATATTTACAAAAAAGCGCAAAAAACCGATTTTTGTGACCTTTGATCTTGAAATTTAATAGTTGCGTACACCCTACCATATGTAGGTTTTGAGACAACTTTTAGGGTGCCAATATACAAGTATTTACATACTTACAGCTGGGTATCTCGAATTCCGAGATTCTTACCTAATTTAAGCTTAAATGACTGGACTAACAGAACTATTCAAACATAGAACCTGAATGCGGAGAAAGCAGGGAAATTCAATAAAGCCAAGAGAGCGTAGTGTCTAACCCTATCTGCGTATAATCGGTAAAGATGAAGATTTTTAAACTGAAATATTTTGAAAAGTTATTTTTGTTATTTTAAATAAAGTACTCAAAATTTTCTGAAGCAAGTTTTTATCTTTATTATACAAGTGTATGGATGGATGGATGGAACGATATTTTCAGAAACTGACTGTTGTCGTTTCAGTATTGCCAACTAATATAGTTCATAAAACATTAAAACAAACAATTTCACAGAATGGTGTTTAAAAAGGAATAAACAAAATTTAAAAGGGTAATTGTTAGCAATGTTATTCTATATACAGAGTATTTATCAAAATAATGCAATACTTTAACGGACCTATACATATATATATTTTGGTATTTATATCGACTAAAAAATTTATAATAGATTTAACACTAACCTACATCAATAACCTCCATTATTTCTTCGTACATTAAATCATCATAGGTTCTGACATCGAATTTTAGGTCTTTTAAGACCTCTTCTAAAGCATCTCTGTCTTTTTCAGTGCCGTCTCTAGTTGAACAATAATCCATGCTGAAAGATTTATGGTTAAATATCAGGGCCGTACCTCTAATGTCATGTTTTCTGTATACTTCGGCATCTGGAGCTGGAGCCAAGGGTAAATTTGGTTTTGTTGATCTGGAAATATCGAATCAAAGTTTTTAATTTGAATAGTTTTTCATTACATATAGAGAGGCGTATTCAAGAAATAAAATTTGTGAGGTACCTGGTTAGCGGAGTTAATATGCCAAAATTAAACAAAAATCTAGTTTTTGTGATTTTCCTTTTTTCTGTCGTCTTTATTTAAGGACAAATGCCCAATGCGATCTTAATAATAATTTTATTTATTAATTTGAAATGTTTATAATTTTTAACAATGTTATTTATTTTTTACTATTGTTTCATTGTGTTATTACAAATAGGTAATAGTTAATAACTTACTTTGAAAATATTCCATCGACAGTTGGTTGGTTGATTCCATTTTGCCCATTTTTTACTGCATTATAATTTTCATTTGTACTTTCTGCATTAGAATTATTATTTTCCATATTTCCTGCTTCGCGTTCAAGTATTTTCAAATTATGTGCTGATTATGTATTTCTATATTGACGATTCGCCTCAAACCACTTAAAATCATCGTACCATATGATAGATTTATATTATCTAACTGTAATGTTTTATTTTTTGATAATGTTATCGGTTTCATCTTATCTATTAAATGCATCATTGAAAAACTACCAATCTATTGGTAAGGTTTCATCAGATTTTAATAATCGTTTTTTCATTTTCCTTATATTATTTTTAAATGCAATTCTTTGTTTTCCCCACATAAGCAAATTAAAAAGCTAAAATGTAGACATATGTTGGTGATTTTGTAACGAAATACCTCCATCCTTTTATTCTATATTGTATATATATGTTTATAAATGTTATGTTTTACAGCATAATAGAGTGGTGGAAAGAGTAAACAAAACTATTAATAGATACTCTTTCCATAATCTATGATGAAGCCTTTAATACTGTTCGTTACTTGAAAAATAGAAGTCCCAAACAAAAACTTGAGGAAGCTTGGGTGGTACGAAACCTAATCTACATCACCTGAAAATATTTGGATGCACATTAAATTTAGAGAATTAATATTTGTGGGAGACTATAAACATTCCAAGGCATTCTTTGGACAAGAAACCAAAAACAATTACTCGTTGTAGAGATGTAATATTTAATTAAACATATTTCCCCGAAAAGGTGTATTTGGGTTACGAAGTGAGCTACTCTGTGACAGGGGCTTTGAATAACTCCTAACTTGTCATAAGCCGTGAAAATTGGATTGATATATTGTGATTCAGGGAATTAACAGAGACGTGTAACTTAATAGGAAAATTTGTTCGGTGGTCCATTTAAATTACACATATGACTTTCTTTCTCTTTTAAATTGATCTTTACATAAATCTAACACCAATCTTAAATATCGCTAATGTTGCTGGTTTTTTGACGTCGACGATTAGAACTGACAACTGACAATGTTATGAATGATGTTATGAACGTGTGCATTTTATTAATTTAATTTGAGCCCCGTTTATTTTTTTGAGTCTGATTTTGTTGTTTAATTAATTTTCTTTGGATGGGGAAATGTTTATTTTCGCATATTATTTTTTGCATGAAGCAATTTCTGGAACCAAACTCGCGTTTTTGTACGTTTCTTTCTAGAGGTAAGCAATTTCCAATTTATTAAGAAAACCACTGTATAATGTGTGTGTTTAATAATATATTACCAAAGGGCTATAATTATTTTATGTGAATTGGAACAGACATCCATTGTTACAGCTACTTTTGTTCATTAAGTAGGTAGATGAATGCCTGGACAGCTTTAATGGCAGCACAAAGTTTCGACCTACTAGAAAAGTAAAATGTATGCTGAGTAAAAAATCTCTGCACATGTAGTATTGGCAAAGGACTTTTGAAATGATTAGAGATTGGCTATTTCTTACATACACCTACCTCTAATAGCCACTCTAGTGGCTATTAGAAGATTGTAGTCATTTAAACGAAGAAAAAAAAATTGAATCACAAATGGACAGAATTTTAAATCAGGGTGCATTGGAAAATAAATTTGGGGACATCAGGTCGGTTTTAGATTTTAGAGAGAGATCAATCTCAAGAAAAGTTAATTTATACTGCAGAACAACCAATAGTTTAAGTAGGATCTGCTATAACTTTATTAGAATATTTCCTTGATAATAAATTGTAATATACCAATTGTTTCAAATGAAATTGAAAAAGAGTTAAATTCGAAATTAGATTTTTCATGGGTAAAATGTTATATTCATTCAAACATCGTAAGGTAATCAATAATTAAGGGAGTATGGAAAATAGGTATACCCTGGTAAGGGACAACAACAAAATTACAAAAATGTATTCATGTTTAAATAGTGTTTATTATTATTATTATTATTATTTTTGCTATGTTTGAAAAGTAGATCCTGCTGCAGAGCAGATCGAATAGATTAGACGAGTAGTTGGAGAAAGTCCACCTAGTCACCAAATTAGGAGAATAGGAAAACTTTTACATGACTGGAATGCACACATCCATGAGGAACTACAGATCCTTAACTGCTAACTGATACTGATTATACTGATTTCTTTGAATTAAGACGTATTATTGTCATTGCTTAGGTGATCAAATGATATTTTATGAATATAAATTAATATTTAATTAATTAAATTAGTCAATCTCTTGTGCAAATTAAGAAAATGACAATTTTCTAACGATATTAGACTGAGATTTCGTAAATAAAACAACCACTTTTATAAACATGTTTTTAGTAAAAAATAAATTTCTAATACAACTATTTCAAAACTAAATAATATAGTAATACATTTTTTTAATTAAAAACAAAATAAAACTATTAAGCCAACATACAAGGAGGCATCACAATATTCAAAAAAGTAGTAAAAAAATTTGATTTTATTTGGGAAAAGATTTCTAACAACAGAACAATATTGATGAAGAGTTACATTAAAATTTCATTTTATATTAGTTATATCGCTCTTAAAAAATCGTAAAAACTATAATTAAACAAAATATTGTTCTTTTCGTATTAAATTTTCTTAGTAATTTATTCTGTTTCCACTTTGTATGAACGACGGATAATCATTTCGACCATTTTGGTACATCTGTGGCTGTTCTAGGGAAGTCTCTGAGGGATAACTAGCGTAAACTGGCTTTAAAGGTGCCTGTTGGACTTTTGGCCTTGGAATTGAAATATCCCTAAAAAAGTATCAAAATTTAGCAATTTTAATGTACCACCATAGTTCTAATTAAATATACAAGAATCACAAAACAATAAGTTCAGTGGATTTAATTTAACAGTTTAATTTGCTTATGTGTTTTGTATACATTTTTACCCTAAAAAATAATTAATTATTAATTTTCATTTAAATCCCATAATGGAATACGAAGATATTGGTTCTGGCGCTTCGCGGAGATTGCAGAGATGCTAAAATTTCTGCAAAAACACTGTCACCCAAAAAATAAAAAATGTAGATTGGGCCATCAATAAAAATTGGAAAAAACTGTTCAATAAAGGTGTCTATTTATTACTGTTCTAAAAAAAATTCAGTTCATGTAAACCATTGACTTTGTAGTCAACTTATTCAACGTTAAAAACCAATTTTTTTAAGTATGATCGTAGATAAAATGGTGAACTACACAAATGTGTAAACTTCTGAGCACTAGTTGCGAATACATTTTCGCAACTCGTACTCGAAAACATTACATACTTGAAAGATAAATAACTATTTTTAATCATTAAAATACATGCATTTTTTGTAGATACTAGTAAAACAACAACTAATAAATATTTGGAAATACTTACTGAATGGCATTCTTTACTCTAACGTGTGTTATAATCTGAAAAGTAAATAAAAAAAACTGTTAACAATCTAAATTAAACACAAGTGTAGCATTTGCAAATAGGCTAATCCAAAGAAAGTCCTGAATAAGTCAAATTCTTTCTTTTTTTATTGGAGTAAACAAAAAATTGTCAAAAAGGTACATTATAACCAAAGATATCGGATATAATAGATACGCTTGTTTACATTGGAATTGTCCGCAACGTCTTTCTAACAGTACGCTCTTCCTATGTTGTCAAATATCCTGCATTAAATTTTTATTACAAATTTACTATTTCCTTTAATATAATTAAAAAAGAAAAATAAAGAATTGGCAGCATTAATATGAGTTTTTTATTCAATACAATCACTTAAGATTTTTATTTATCGTCTTTTACACGTGTATCGTATGTGGATATTAAACATTTCTGGTTCATAATGTTTAAGTTTGGCAACCTAAGACATTTTGTTGACGCTTAATTTTTATTACGCTTTTTGTGTTTTTTTTTAGGTTTTCGAGAATAATTTGAACATTGAACTGTTCAATAAGTACATTTAGGATGGTGAGGAAATATCTAGTATGCCAAACTATTTGTAATAAAAATATTATGCGGTTATTTCATAGGTAAGGTTTTGTTAGCATAGACGGAGGCATATAAAGGGAATAAGGCTTGATTTATTTAACATTGTAAAGGCATATTGTATAAAATTCGCCCTTGGATAAAACAGGTGTTACGAGTTCATTTTAATTGGTTGGTAAGTAGGTAATGTATAATTTAATTTATCTTCTTACCTGTATACCACCGGCTATCAACATATAAGTCAAGAATATATTTACTGCCCATAACACGAATCCTCTAGCTGCCAAAGTCATAGGGATGCCAATAGCTGTGTGACAATTATCCACAACATTGAATGTTGTTGACTGATTAGGACAGTTGGCAAAATCTCTTAATAACAAAGAGGCGAAGATTATGTCGATTACGGAAGTACAACCAGTTACAATTCCCCACAGCACCATCAATTTGGATTGCCTGTTCTTGTTTTGACGAATAGCTAAAAAAATATTGAGTTATTTTTCTACGTGCACTTACAATTGTACGATCAACAAGCTTAAACATATTCAATGTAAAAAAGAAAATAAAAAATTTAATTTAATTAATTTATAGTCTAGCTACGAGCAACATTGCTAAAGTTAGCGGAACTTAGTACTGCTTGCATTGCCAGCGATATTATCCTTTAAATATTAGCCTTTAAATTGTATTTAAGTTTTAAACGTAACTTGTTTTATATAACCTTTTCTACAAACTTTAGTAGTACTCCGCGTATATAGTTATTGTTTAAATATAACTTCGCATATATTTAAATACTAACGATTACAAAACATAAGTCACAGCCAAATCATATACCAAGACCACCTTTTAAAATACAACGAAAGTTGGTATAACAGCAAAATTGAAAGGTCAATGTTCAACATGAATTAAAACATCTAACTCTACAGTATGATTCATACAATATAAAAAAATAGTTGTCTTTTATATCTTTATTATCACAATATATTTCTCTCGACGCGGGCGTTGTAACTAAGTAATTTATATGGCTAAAAGATCTAACCAATCAGATCGCTTTCATAGCGAAGTTTATAAATACTACTGCAATGAGAGCGTTAAAGTTACACTTTCGAAACAAAAAAATAAGTTTTATGTTCTAAGTTAAAGGGAATAAAATTTGTTGTGTTTTTAAACCAGCGTGTTTCAATCTTCATTGGCTGGCTTCTATTCCGTAAGTGAATTTCTAAATCTAAATCTTTTAAAATTTTAAATTCTTTTTAGATCATCGCTGGTTGTCTCTTATTAATCAGGGTATTTAGGTTAAGAATATATTCATAATTTGACCAGTTCTATAAAAACTATGTCTGTTATAAAGAAAATAAAGCATTATTTTTATTATTGCCTTCTTTATGCAGGAAAGAAAACACGCATAACTAAGTCATTCCCGCTAACGCAAATAAATATTATTTATTCCTACACTAGAATACAGGGTGATATCAGCTAAAATACAAAGTTGTATACAGGGTGATTCATAAGTACTTTCACAAACTTCAGGAAATGATTCTTAGAGTAATTGTAAGGTAAAAAGTTCATATAAACATGTGTCCGGAAATGGATGGTTTTCAAGATACACGGTGTTAAAGTTTTAAGAAAAAAAATCGTTTTTTATCATATCTTTCATACCACTGAAGATAATTTAATGAAATTGGTACACGTTGATAAAACATAAAGTGACATTTTTTGATGCTATTAACTTTTTTTATTTTCATCAGTGGCGTCCGTACGGTATTTAAATCAAATATTATTGAAGAAAAAAAATAGTACACCACTGGTTTTTTAAAAAATAAAAATTATTTTTAAAATCTACATTTAATTTGGAACAAATTTGATCTCTTGACTTTTGTTCGTAAGACGCACCGTTTTCGCGTAAAAAAATTTGTACAATGTCGGTAGAAATGCACCCGTAGGGTGCAAAATCAGTAGTTTTTAAATAAAATATGCAATATGCAAGAAATATTATTTCAAATAAATTGTTGAAAGTGTCCACCTTCAGCGAAGATACAGACATTCAATCTTCTAGTCATTGAATCTCGTACTCTCTCAAAAATTATTGGTGTGTTTCTTATTCTTTCACAGGCGTCTATTATTCGGTTTCTTAGTTCTTCCTCGTTTGCTACTGGAGTTTTATAAACTAATGACTTCATATGTCCCCAAAAATAAAAATCTAACGGGTTTAGATCTGGGGACCTTGGTGCCCACGCCTGGTTAGGTTCTTCTACACCTCTAGCGATCCATCGATTTTGATAGACAGTGTTAAGGAATTCCCTGGCTACAACGCTGAAATGGGCCGGAGCCCCATCATGCATAAAACACATGCGAATACGATTTTCTAAAGGTACATTCTGAAGTAATCCCGGCAATTCGTTTTCTAGAAAGTGTCTGTAAGTTTCTCCATCCAGTCGGAGCGGAAGAAAGAAAGGGCCTATCAAATAATCATCAATTATTCCCGCCCATACATTTACAGAAAATTGATACTGAGAATGCCTTCCACTAATTGCGTGCGGATTTTCTAGAGCCCACACATGGTTGTTATGAAAGTTTGTGACAGTATTTTTGGAGAAATTTGCCTTGTCCGTGAAAAGTACATGTACAGTTTATACAGGTTAGCTGTTAAAGATGGAACCAAACCTATAGTGCTTAAACGGTTTAACATACAAAACCTAAAATTTCAGAATTTCAACTAAATACATTTGCGCATATTTTAGCACAAAAATTATTTTTTTTATAATTACAAAATTTTAAGCATGGCTGCCATCTTGATTTTTTAAAATAATATCCTTTCTGTTGTGTTTAAACCCCATGTGTGATACATTTTTGTAATAAGGGTGTTAAACCCTTTCAAATGGTATATCACATGACCTATGTTGCAATTTAAAAAATCAAGATGGCGGCCATGCTTAAAATTTTGTAATTATAAGAAAAATAATTTTTGGGCTAAATATGCGCAAATATATTTAGTTGAAATTCTAAAATTTTGGATTTTGTATGTTGAACCGTTTAAGCACTATAGGTTTGGTTCCATCTTTAACAGCTACCCTGTATGAACTGTTTACCTTAAAATTACTCAAAGAATCATTTCCTGAAGTTTGTCAAAGTACTTATGAATCACCCTGTATAATATATATTTTCTATTCTCTACGCTATGGGCATTAGACGTGTTTTCTATTGGGCGCGAATTTGAAAAAAATTAAATCCAACTCACCAATAAACAGATCAATAGACGCAGTAAGCAACGCCACGCTGAAGAAAAAATAAAACCACATAAAAATTTCAAAGTCCTTTGGTCTTATCACAGCGCTAAGCTGACCAGTATTTGGTGTTTTACCTAAAAAAAAATATAGAGAGAGAGAAGAAGGGTAATCCTGACTGGAATACGTTGAGAAAAATGTATTTCTTGGGGAATGTAGTCAAAAATTTAGTAAAATTCTTGGATCATCGTCATGTTTTCACTATCAAGTAAAAAATTGATAAACTATTTCATCCTTATTACTGACATCAAATATTTAATTTCAAAATTATCCTACAATTTGTTAAAACCACACTAATCTAATAATGATAAAAATGTTGGTTTTTATGAAACTTTTTTGTGTTCTGTGTATTTTAGAATATATAAATTACAACAAATGAACAAATTTGACATGAATGGTATTTAGAATGACAGTAGTGTAAGTATAGGTACAAGTATTTATAAAACGCTCCATCAAAGGGCATATTGCTTGAATCGCCAATAAATTAATGTAGAAACATTTTGTTGTAAACTTTTTCAAGTATTTTTTTTAAAGCAGACTTGTACTTACTTAAATAATACATATAAAACATCGAATTCAACAAAGTTGAATACGAAGTAGATGTTGTTCCTATTTGTTTTTCACTTCTATAAACAATTATGCATGCCAAAGACATGCATGTCCAAGCTAACCCTTGTAGCTAAAAAATAATATATTAATAACACAAAATATAACGAATTAAAGAATAAAAAATATTGTGCATATTTCCATAACCACGCAATCGGCCAAAAAAGTTTGGTACACCCTGTATACAAATATATAATTCCAAACTTACCATTCCTAAAATCGCAGCAATTTTTCCAAAAATTGTTTGCGTTGGTGTTAAGGCCATTTTATTCTTCTATTTTTATATTTTTGATCTCTTCTCATGTAATTAAAACGATAAAAGCAATAACAAATGATATATTTTTTCGTGAATGATGTGGATTTAGATGGTATCTATAAATGAAGATTACCAAAATTCTTGAAAGTAGGAATTATCTGATAAGTTTATCAATACCGGATCGTATTTGTCAGATTTAAAATAAGAAAGTACTAATACTTAAGAGACAAAATCACAAATATTGCGATTTTTTATACAAGGAGTCATAATTATTGGGAAATAGCATAAGCGCAGGTTATTTGGACCAAAATATTAGGATTGGACCAAATACGCTTCAATAAAATGTTGTGGGTGTTAAAGTTGATGTATGTTTTTGGTTTTTTGGTAATAGTTTTACAATATATTCATAAATCGTTATCAAAATTTGCAAAGAGGCATAACTTTAGGAATATTATTTTATTTATTATTACAGTTTTTTACAGAGGCTGTCACATATAAGATATTTTAGTAAATTTATTTAAAAAATACTGAATTTAGGGACTGTTTACTTGCAACTTGCGGAATTTCTGAAGTCTGTTGGTTTCATTCTGATTAAGTAAATACATAATGGTGGCACAATAAGTAAAATGAGGCAAAATTATAATAAAAGAAAAATGACCATTTATTAAGGTATTAAGGTATTAAGGTATTAAGGTATTAAGGTATTAAGGTATTAAGGTATTAAGGTATTAAGGTATTAAGGTATTAAGGTATTAAGGTATTAAGGTATTAAGGTATTAAGGTATTAAGGTATTAAGGTATTAAGGTGTTAAGGTATTAAGGTATTAAGGTATTAAGGTATTAAGGTATTAAGGTATTAATGTATTAGGGTATTAAGGTATTAAGATATTAAGGTATTAAGGTATTAAGGTATTAAGGTATTAAGGTATTAAGGTATTAAGGTATTAAGGTATTAAGGTATTAAGGTATTAAGGTATTAAGGTATTAAGGTATTAAGGTATTAAGGTATTAAGGTATTAAGGTATTAAGGTATTAAGGTATTAAGGTATTAAGGTATTAAGGTATTAAGGTATTAAGGTATTAAGGTATTAAGGTATTAAGGTATTAAGGTATTAAGGTATTAAGGTATTAAGGTATTAAGGTATTAAGGTATTAAGGTATTAAGGTATTAAGGTATTAAGGTATTAAGGTATTAAGGTATTAAGGTATTAAGGTATTAAGGTATTAAGGTATTAAGGTATTAATGTATTAAGGTATTAAGGTATTAAGGTATTATTGTATTAAGGTATTAAGGTATTATTGTATTAAGGTATTAAGGTATTAAGGTATTAAGGTATTAAGGTATTAAGGTATTAAGATATTAAGGTATTAAGGTATTAAGGTATTTAGGTATTAAGGTATTAATGTATTAATGTATTAAGGTATTAAGGTATTAAGGTGTTAAGGTATTAAGGTATTAAGGTATTAAGGTATTAAGGTATTAAGGTATTAAGGTATTAAGGTATTAAGGTATTAAGGTATTAAGGTATTAAGGTATTAAGGTATTAAGGTATTAAGGTATTAAGGTATTAAGGTATTAAGGTATTAAGGTATTAAGGTATTAAGGTATTAAGGTATTAAGGTATTAAGGTATTAAGGTATTAAGGTATTAAGGTATTAAGGTATTAAGGTATTAAGGTATTAAGGTATTAAGGTATTAAGGTATTAAGGTATTAAGGTATTAAGGTATTAAGGTATTAAGGTATTAAGGTATTAAGGTATTAAGGTATTAAGGTATTAAGGTATTAAGGTATTAAGGTATTAAGGTGTTAAGGTATTAAGGTATTAAGGTATTAAGGTATTAAGGTATTAAGGTATTAAGGTATTAAGGTATTAAGGTATTAAGGTATTAAGGTATTAAGGTATTAAGGTATTAAGGTATTAAGGTATTAAGGTATTAAGGTATTAAGGTATTAAGGTATTAAGGTATTAAGGTATTAAGGTATTAAGGTATTAAGGTATTAAGGTATTAAGGTATTAAGGTATTAAGGTATTAAGGTATTAAGGTATTAAGGTATTAATGTATTAAGGTATTAAGGTATTAAGGTATTAAGGTATTAAGGTATTAAGGTATTAAGGTATTAAGGTATTAAGGTATTAAGGTATTAAGGTATTAAGGTATTAAGGTATTAAGGTATTAAGGTATTAAGGTATTAAGGTATTAAGGTATTAATGTATTAAGGTATTAAGGTATTAAGGTATTAAGGTATTAAGGTATTAAGGTATTAAGGTATTAAGGTATTAAGGTATTAAGGTAATAAGGTATTAAGGTATTAAGGTACAAGTAGTTGATTTTAAACGCTACTGTTTTAACTCATAGTTTGCATGATATTTAAAAATTAACATATGGTCTTCTATACTATTTCCAGGTATTTAATTTTTTTACGACTTCCTTGACATTAGTTTCAGTACTAATCTTTATATTATTTTCAGTAAATTCATTGTAATACATAACATTATCATTTTTAACTATAATAGGAAAATCATTAACGTTTTTATTTATATTAGACTCTACGTCAATTATACTATCATCAATATAATATGCATTAAGTGTATCTGACCATTCAATTATGTCTTTTATAAATAAATTTTTATTTATTTCAATTTCTACAAAGTCGTTTTGTTTATACTCTGCAGGTAACAGTTTCTCATTATAATTTAATAGAATTATTTTTATTTTCCATAATTTGAGACTCATAATATTTTCTCTTTTGATTTTTAATAATTTTAACAACCTAATTTCGTTTTTGTTTATAATTTTGGGAATATATGAATAGTTTTTGCTAATGAAATTCCTTTACGAAATGAACTCTTGGAAAAAAATATAAGATGCCGCTAATGGTTTTTTTAATGTAAGGAAGTCTTTCATTAATATTTGTGCATTAAATGTGACAGTTTTTAGCGTATTATTAAAAAAAAAAGTGCAATAATTATTATTTTTATATCACAATGGAATACCAATAAATCTTACACAGGAAGCATTTACTGATATTTAGTTACCTACTTCAAAGTACGCAAATTGACATCTCGTGTAAAAAATACTGTAAATTTTATATTATTTAAATAAAAAAATGATAATTTACTATTTTTATTAAAAAAACATACAAAAAATTATAGTTAAATAAATAATACATGCATCTTCGAATCCTTCACACAATTTAACATCACATAGCCGTACCTAAAACAAATAGTTCTTATAAAAAAATTAATCCGAAGCTTCCTCACTATAAAGATACTTATAGTCCGGAAGAAGAATGCATTTAATAAATATGTAACTAGTCACCAGAGATAACAGGAGATGTTAACTACTAACAAATATCGTGCGGTCCTGAATAAGACATATTCTAAGGGACACAGGAGGGTATAATATCCGCTGTTGTCATATGCCTATTTCATTATTCTCGTTTTGTTTACAAAATTAAATACTTAAATTAAAAAAGCTAAAATAATTCAACCTATTTTATTGCAACTGAACCCAACAAATTTTGAATCAATAATTATATTAAATTTAACCAAATTAGATGCAATTTCACTAAATTAGATGTAATAATTTTCAATAAATTCCAAAACCTAGGTTGGAAGTGGCAACAGGGCTTACACCGGCATGAATATTTACGTTGTTTATTATAAGCGCCCAGTTGTATCTGCGTAAAATTCTTCTCTTTATTCCATTTCTTAATTCTCACCTTTCCTCTCCTCACCGCGTCCCTACAAATACTTTGTATCGATTGTCGAATTAATCTTGGCATCGTAAATATTATATTTTATCAATGAATGTATCTCTGTTATCTCTGCTAGTTACACATAATATTCAACTAAATATAAAGTAAATTATTTTGATAGTTATTGAGATTACAAAAGACTTTTTATATCAAAATTAGAAAAATAGCTATTATGATGCAACATGATCATTTTACTTACTTCCCATTCGATGTTCTTCTAAACTGCCGTGCCTAGCCCTTCCATTGGAGCCCTCGCCATGTTCGAACAATATGCTGGGCGGTCTCTCGTTGAATCTCAGATACGACCATGGTCTTTGATTCATTTCGTATTCGTTTTCGCTGTCTCTCCGGTACATTTGGTTGGTATTGACACCTTCGGTGACGTCTTGGAATTTTAGGTAGTTAGAATTCGGCTGAAATAAAAACACATTTTTTTGTTGGTGATTTAGATAAAACCTTTCAATTTTTTACACTGGTGTTATAGATCTACATGCAATCTGACGGTAAGTAAAAAATGCGATAATCTTTTGTCAGTGGACTTAAGAGTTTTTCTATCACTTTATACCATATTTTAAAGTGCCAATTTTAATACTATTACGCGTGTCCATTTTAATATTATTACGTGTCAGGTGTCAAGCGATTTAAATAATTATATTATACGGTGAATTGCAAAAACAGAAATAATAATATGATGATATGATGATAACAAACTACTTATTTTATTAGATAAAAACTATCTATTAATATTGCACAACCTTACCCTTGGACTGCTGTTGGTAGAAGACAAAAACTCGACATTGGAATCCAAGCTATACCGAGTGGTACTGTTACCAGACACTTTCTTCGGACGTTCTTCTGAATTTATCCTTTTCGATTTTTTATTTCTGCTATTTGAATTGTAGTCTGTATCGTTCGATTTGCTGGATACGCTGCTGCTTCTACAACTGTTCGTTTCTACTGTCCCGTAGAATTTCTGCCAGTTTCTTATTCTTGATTCGGATGAATTCATTTGGTTGGATGATATTTGCGAGTTGGATCTTCTGGCTGAAATTGCAAAACAAAAAAAGAATAAAGGATATCACACACCTTTAATTGGTTTTTTCTTGAAAATTTAATAGCCAGTTATACCAGCAATTACATTTTTAAAAAATACACTGTTTTGCGTGTAAAGGTTATATATTTTACGTGACAAACTTAGAAATTAAATTTAAACTAATACCCAAGTTGCAATTTTAAGACAGATTAAATTTATTAAGGTTTTAAAAGTGTTTTAATGTGTTCAAAAAACGATATTGATTTAAAAGTTAGGTTAGTATAATTATTAAAGATATGAAAGATATTTTAAAGCTTAAAGGTTTTAATTTAGTCAATTTGGTTATAGAAACAAAACCACTTCGGGCTACTTACACCAGTTAATATTGATATGGAAATTCCCATGTCTTCAAAATTGTTGTCAAAATAGAATTCAGCTGGGGTGGTGGTTTTTGGACATCAAAATTAAAGTGGAAAATCAGAATGTCTAGAGGGGGGTGGGGCTGTTGATTTTTGGATTTTTCAGGATTTTCCTCAGTTATTATCACTAGCACTAACTTTTAGTTAAATTACTAATTTTAGTCAATTAGACACGGTACGTGTAGTGATCCCACTTCTGATCTTAACAGAATACCTAATAAACATGTTTAAACTGTTTTTTAAATGGTTTAATTCAATATAAAGTATTCTCAAAATATAATGTTGGTGTGGTACTGCCACTGTCTATTCGCGTACTGATTACTGCGCTGGTATTCCTTCTCTAGCTCTCAAAAATTGACACTAAATGTGCCTAAAATTACAAATTAATTTTGAAACAAAGATAAACCAAAAAAACCTTTATTCTGTCTGAAAATATATAATATGTTATACAATATAATATATAAAACTCTATTTAAACATATTACTATTGCAGAGATTTTCCATCTCAAAGTATTAACCTATAATATTTACATTAAAAGTTAGAAACTTACCCAGTGTCAAAGAAGTAAAACTAATAATTCATTTTTATGGCAACTGCCTATTCAACAAAATCAAAAAAGCAGCCTCCTCGCAAAGCCAAAACGAGAGATGGTAAAATCATGAAACACATTTTATGGTTAGACAACTTTATATTTAGAGACGAGGTTGGTTCCTTGGCTACTATGTGACAACACCTAGTGAATATTACTGTCCATAAATAATACCTATTATTTTTCAAAATTAAATATAAAAAAATAACATGTTTAACATGTTATAAGTTATTTAGGAGGATCTAAGCGCATATATATTTCAATAATAATATTTTAAAACTTTGGCTACTGAAACTGTCCATCATGACGGAGAATAAAACATTGAAAATTTATAGAACAATTAAAATTTTACAAGACTTAATAAAACAGCATCTTATTTACCATTTTAAGTACAATTACTTCCACAGAGGTCTGTTTACAGTTCATTTTAAAACTATGTTGTTTTAATAGGTTCAAACTCGTGGACTTATTGATTTAAATTAGTTTTGCGAACGAATGAAATCCTAACCTCACAAATTGTGCCAGTCTTGTGATTGCTGCATTTAGTACATTTTCATCTTTATGTGCCTAATTTAATTAAAAAATAGGTACATTTTGTTATATTACTGTTACATTTTGTTACACTAATCGCATATAATTGGGCACACCCAAGCACCGTTCTCAATATATTGATGTATAAAATATACCTAATGTATTTTATAAAAGGTAACTATTATGATTTTGGATTTAATGTGGAATTTCATTGAGTATATAGATAGATAGTTTTCTTAATGGGTTTTAATGAATACATCAAGAGTACACCATAAGACTATATTTAAACTATTTGTTCCAAAATGGATTGTTTTAAAACCAACTTGCTATTTATTCCTTTAAAATAACGAATTGGTTTTAATATAACCAATGTCAAGAGTATTATAAAACCAGTATAAGATCAAATAGTTTTTTTTATTTTACAAATGATTTGCATAATAATAAGTAGTCTTTAAGAACTTTTAGTTTTTCAGCTAACTTTAAAACCAATATCGTTTTATTGAACATATTAAAGCACTTTTAAAATAAATTTAGTGTCTTAAAATTGTTTCTTGGTCTTATATTAAATTTTTTCTAAACCATTACAGGTGATAGATATCGTTTATTACACATTTTCTAATAAGCATCTTAAAAAACCCAACATATTTACCTATTATTTTATTTCTTTTATCATTTCCTGCAATACCACGAAAGGCAATGCCGAAACTATTGACAATGCTGAAGAAATTGACGATATTCAGTATCCAAAATATACACAATCTCGACCAAAATAATGTCATAGTGATACTACTCATGTGCGGAACATATGAAGAGCTCTTGAACTTGTTGAATTTGCTAAAATCTTGATAATTAGTGACGCCAATGAATCGTAGCCAGGAGGTATAGTTCTAAAAAAAATATTTATCATTATAAGGTAGGGATGTCATGTTCTAAATTTGAGATACGTGTTTCTATCTCTTTCGTTATAAAAGTTTTATTTAATGATTTTAATAAGCAACTCCTACGAATTTCCAGACTCGACTACGAGTTTCTAGACTATACTACGAGTTGCCAGACTAGACTACGAGTTGCCCCAGACTCATTTACGAGTTTATTCTGTACAGAACAGTTTGTTTCTGGTTCGTTTACCAATCAATACTAAATGATTAAGGTTGTCCCATGCTAAGCATAATATATTCGTTAACATCAACAAGTTATCTTAATGTGTTCCGTCGAAATATTCCATAAATAAAGTCTTAAGTTTGTTGGAGTGTCGTATTACACAGCATCGTTGTCGTCGTCGTCATTTGTCCTATTTCTTACAATATATTTTACTTAAAGTTTTAAATATTATTGACGGTTGATTTTTGTTAATATTTTTTAATAAAAATTGTGTGGAACTTTCTTTTAATTTTCAACTTGTAATTTTGAATGGGCCTTCCCCTGCAAGCTTCCTGGATCCGCCCTTGGTTTGAGTAGGTTAAAATAACCTTCTAAACATGAAAGTCGTGTCTGGCAATACGACTAATATTGGTAAATATTTCAAATATGACCATTATTCTGTTTAAAAATACAGCCGAATTTGTAGCCAAAAATGACTGACAACACCAATCACAGCTCAGAACTGCGGGATTGATCACGGTCTGGAGAGGTGACTAACCATTGCATTTTTTCATATTTTACAATTCTTATAATACTTCCGAATTTTTTATTTTACGTTTTACCTTAAAAAATGAGGAAAACATGATGATAAAATCAATATTGGAAAACCAATAAATATAATAACCTTATAAAGTTCCCCTCGTACATTAATATTTTACCTTAACATATTATATTTACTATTAACATAACAGCTGCAATAAGAATACATGCAAACCATCATATTATACAGTTTATTAGTTTTTTACTAGACCATTTAGACGGTCTTTACAATTTCTAGAAAATACGTACAGTGCGTTATATTTTCTCTAGTCCTGCTACCTGGACTATAACCCAATCCATTTGTCTACGTCAACATGTTAAAAATTAAAAATATTTTTCAATATCATGACTTACGAAAATCTGAAGCAAGTCCAGGCCAAAATGAACAGCAGCCGTGACGTCTAGCAACACCGAAACACATGTCACGAGCAACCATGGTCCATAGAAAATGATCGACAAACATTTTTTCACTTTAAAAGAAATGCCAGCTAAAAAAATTGTAAAAATATCATTAATCTTGATTTTCTAAATTTATGTCAAAGTTTACTGGACTATTAAGAAATGATAGCCGAGGTAAATTTATCAAGAAAAATGGAAAATTAAATTGAAAAGGATGAAGATGACATTACGTGATAAGTTTCGCCATATTGGTATGAAATTTTGACATTTGTATGTGTAGGCGACATGACGTTGTGTTTTTGATTATAGTATATTAATTTACCTTTATAAACAATAGGCTAAATAGATAATAATTAAAACAATGGCGCATTGTGCAATATTTAGTTGTACTAGTATATATGGTGTAGATAAGACAATTTCAGAAATAACATGTCATATTGCTGGGAAGTGTATACAAAAAACAAAACAGTACTTTAGAAAATTGGGATTTTTATTTTCTAAAAAAAGCAGGTAACTTTTTCAAATAAATGTGCATAATTTTATTTTTATTTACTATGGCTTTCTTGGAAAAATTTCTTATTTTTTTTTTTGACATGAATAAAATTAATTTCTACATATTTTTAATAACATTATAAGTATGGAAAGTGATAGTTTTCACACGAGGCATATTCCGAGTGCGACTATCACACGATTGTAAAAAATCACTTTTATACAATATTTTTTCTACGACTACAAAATTTTTTTATTAAGGTACAAAGAAATATTAGAACACAATATTGTTTTTCATTAGATTTTTTAATATAAGAAATAATAACACGAACAACCGTAAACCAGAACTTTTTTATTATTCAGGATGATTACTTATTTATCTACTTACAATTTTTTCACGGTAATCAAAATAGTACAAAATAAATATCGGAAAAATTAAATGTAGGGGTTATATTATGATAAATAAAATTAAATAAAAAACAATAATCATATTTTTTTCAATTTTCATATTTTTCAAAATAAAAGAAAGATTGCTTCCATCGGAAATTGAACCCGCATCGCGACATGGTCGCGACAAGTAAGGTTGATTAGGTTGAACAGTCTATGAACTGAACTATCAGCCTATGTCACACGAATTATCTAATCAAATATGTATATTGACCAGAAAAATAAATCATAAAAATAATGTAGTTACTTTAAAATTATTTTAATAATTTGTTAAAAGTAAATATATCCAGGATCTTGGTGTAAAAATCAATCTTAACAATTTATTCATTAAATTGATTTTATCATAAATATGGACAATACATAGATCAAACTAGAAATTACGACATATTTGACAGCTGATGCAGAAAGTAGATTTATATTCATACTCGTGCAGGCGTAGGAAAAATGCAGTACCATAAGTTGGGGATGTATGGAACAGTCGGAGTTATATGGAACAAACGTGCAAACGTTTAAATTTACCGCTTTGTCACGAAATCTGTCAAATATTTTTGGGGAAATTTCTTTTCTTGGGTTAGTGCAGGGTTTTGTTTTGACATTCCGCAAAGTTGTAAATAATTTCTGGAATTGTGGTTTTTAAGAAAAAAAGTTGAAAAATAAGGTAATTTTTAACTGTTTTATAAAACTAAAAATGTGTCCTTTGTATCTTTTTATCCGATTGAGATAGAATATATGCGCAATGAAGTTATTTCTAATACGTAACCTAAACAATTACCCAACATACTTTATTATTAATTATTTTTAAGTTGTCCCACTTTTTTTAAGTGTTTTTTATGAAAAGTTGGTTTTTCTGGGGAAATATGGAACGATGCCACGAAAACATAAGCATGTCCCTGAAACGACCTATAGAAGAAACTATGACCTATTATTTTTTGTTTTTTTTTTTTATTTAGAGTCCACAGGACTATTTCTTTGTATTTTGTTTCTACTTATTTTTAAATGCTTAATGCGTCAAGAGTTTTGTTCCTATTTTTTCTATATCCACACAAGCTGTGAAATAATGTTCATAGTTTTTACTGTTATAAGCTTTATTACTGTTGCAGTAACATGTTATTTTTTATATTTTCTAATTTTTGTAATAAGCCAATAAAAAGGTTTTTTTTTGGTTTTTTACATTTATGTCTCTTTTCCCATTCTTATATTTAAAAAAAAAATTGTTTTTGTTTAAATTTGTTCCATATAGACATATGATCAATTCTATATGTAATAAACATGAGTTTTCATTCATTCTACATGCAAAATTGACCTTGTTCCATATATCCCAAACTCTGGGTTATATGGAACAGCGTAAAATTAAACAAAATAATATCACAAACACCTAACACCACAAAGCAATCAACTAAAAAAAATCACAAAAAAGTTAAAAGGAAAAATATGTAAAAATTGTTCCATATATCCCCAACTTACGGTACTCTTCATGTACCCATTGTTAGTTTGAAATAAGCTGTGTCTATGACATTATATGCCATCTCCATCCTTTTCTACCTTTAATACACAATTATTTTAATAATTATTTAAATAAGTACCGAATAATAAAAATGCGCTCAAGAGCCAACATCCGTCGCATATGACGCAGCAAAACAGGTATATTCGCGTTCTGTAGTATTGACTCGATTCCCTGGGGAAAATGGCTTTTTCTGAAATTGTATGGACGATATTATAAATACTATCCTCTTCGTCGGTAGCGTTCGTTTCTAAATCTATCAGTCTTGTTGAGTTACTGTCTTGTTTTATGCTAAAAAAACTTTCTTCGCCTACTGAGACACTACCGCATCTATCATAATCTGAACATAAAAAAGACAAAAAATTTATAACAGTGGCGTAATAAAATGTGCGCCAATATCCAAAAATTATTATCGCACTTTTTCTACGACCCATTTTACGCCATTTACTAAAATGTTTTCCCATTTAAAGTGGAATATTAGCAAAAAGTTATTTAAAAACCCATAAATCTAAAAAGGCAAACCCACAATTCAATATAACAATTTATTTGACACTGCTAAGGTAATCACTTGCAAAGACAAGTTTTCCAAAAATTTTTAAGAATTCCCTTACTTCTCTTGATCATTTAAAGACGTCTAGATATAAAAATCTAAAATTTGGATACTTTTTAAAAATTGAATAGAAAATGCATGACTTTGAATCTGGTTATTATGAAAGAAAGCACATTACTTTACAATTAGGTAGGTACTACTATTAAAGCAACACCAATAGAGAAAAAATCAAGATCTTAAACTTTAGGTCATCAGCAAACTTAAGATATTGTAAATTATGGAAACAGAATACCACGCCCAACTAACAAAGTAGCTTTATAAGTAGATATATTGCTGTTTCTGAAATGCTAATTTGTTGTACTAAAATTACAGAAACTACTATTTTGTTCTCTGAAACTAAATTGTTATATAAATTAGTTTTTACAATATTCTTACAGCAAAATGATAAAATAGTTTCCACGATAACTATAAAGTTGTTACAAAACATTTATACAACTATTCTATACAACATTTCAGCTAATAAAATAAAATTGCTTTATAGTGATTCTATATTGTTGCTCTGGACGCAACAGTCCAATATTTCTTTATTCATATCGAATGAGGTATAAAGAATAAAAAGTAAGGGGCCCAATATTGAGCCTTGTGACACCGGTTTTATAAGTTTTATAACTAGAATTGAGCTAGAGCTACTAAAAAGTCTAGGAGACTATAAGTTTCTTAATAATTGAAACAAGTTATATTAACCATGAACGCGCATACTATTATAAGTATTTTGCACGACCATTATATATTTAAAATAGGTACGTAAATTTTCGATATTTATGCTTACCATAAAAATAAGTGATGTAAAAAATGACCAGTATGTAGTGGCTGGGCTTAAATTGGCAAACATAATATCCGCCTAATACGAATATGATATGAAAACTTGTTTGTACCTGAAATTAACACAAACACAATAATTAGAAAATGTACAAAGCCGAACTACGACGTATTCGTATAGTGTTTTATAATTAATAGTGTCAACATTTTGTGCGAATTTAGCAAAATTTCATTTTCTAGGAAAAAAGTTTGAAAGTATTTAATTTTTTATCTAATTTGTTTGGTTACAGGGAGGTCTGTGAACTTAAAAAATCACAAAAAATTTTCAACTAGGTTACTTGAATTTTTTTTTTTAATATTAATTTCTCAATAAATTCCACGGTAACCTATATATTTTATTGTAAAAAAAAAACCTATATATTTCAAAAACCTTATTTTTAGTTTTTTCTACTCCATCTAATCAATAAATAATAGTATAATTCGAGAATTGTTGTTGAGGTCTTACTTTCTCGTAAGACACTGTACAAATACTCGCATTTAAAAAAAAAAAATTCTCAAAAATTTGCACGGTAAGGTAAAGTTAAAAGTTCACTATTAGATAAATAAGGACTTCAACTATTAGAAAAAAAATAAATGTTAGTCATAATCTAATATTTTTTATTTAACATTGGTGGCGAAAGGGGTGGCGAAAGGACCTCCTTAAAAGAAAAACCATCAGCAATTTTATTAATTTATTTATCAACTAAGAGTGAATGGATTGTATACAGGGTGTTCAATGGGTGTCGATATTGAAGCATGTAATTTCTTGGTCTACGAGTATTTAATGATTAAAATTTAACATAAACATGTGCTCTAAACTCAGATAAGCAAAAGAAATAGATATGTAATGGGCGGTCTTTAACATAAGCTTTGTTTGAAACCAAAATAAACAAAAGTTTGACTGTTTGGTTCCCGAAAAGTTTTGTCGTCAGGATTCAACACCGGTGGAATTCATAATTTCATTCTAATCAAATTTTAATTTATCTTCTTAGTACTACAAAAAAGCTGCAAAGTTTAATCTAAATCGTTAGTAAAGTGTTTAGGATATTATTGAAAAACCTGTATAAAAAAAAGTTTTATATCAAATGTTAGTCATAAATTAAACCAAGAAATTACATTTAAGAACACCTTTTATAAAATAAAAATAGCAAATAAAAAAAAGGATGTATAACATTAGAAATACTTACTATTGTCCATATTGAAATCAAAATTCCTTTAACAACCCAACTCCGAGTTTGACAACACATTTGAATACCGAATTGGATTAAAAAAAAAAAACAATCAATTTTGAAAAAATCTCTTGCACCGCGACATTAACATTAACAACATGATAGACACGTAGATGTCAAAATTTCTTTACCAAATTTTCGCATTTTTAGTAACTATACATATTGAAGAGGACTGATAAGATAAACGAGCATATTTTTATTAAAAAAGGTACAGAGTCGGTGCAGCGGTTTTGGCACAGACACTTCAGTTTATCAAGGATGTAGATACTGATAATTATCAAAATATTTCATTTTTTTAAGTAGAATAATTTGTAGAAAGATTATTTAAAAATCGATATTAATTTGGAAAGTAAATGGTTTATTTTTTGCAGGATTAGGACTTGGTTGGAATTTTAGAAGTTACCTCCATGTTCTTCATTGACGAAGTGATTTATGCTGTACGTTGTGTTGAGTAAAAATAAAGTGTTAAAGCAAGCATTCATTATATTTATTATGTACATTCGGCCATCCCTTACAATCGATACTAACTATTGAACATGTATTATCAAAGCACCAGGTTCATCCCTTCCACTAAAAAGCGTTTATTTTTACTTAAATGTTAACCTCTACAGTTAGAAATCAGTCAAAACACATTTGAAGTTCATGAATTTTCAAAAATGCAATATTATCTAAGCAGGGGTACTACCCAAAACCGAAAAACATAACAAGTGGTCTACGAAACAAAAAAGTTTGAGGACCTCTTATGTATGTAAACACCCATATTTTTAGATAACAAAATTTTAACTGTTCCTTTTGTTTACATTTTAAATTGTTTGTTACACAAAAGATAACTTAAATAATCTAACAAAACTATCTAATCATCATCATTATAAAACAAGATACACTGAGTTGCTCTGTAGGTATACCAAATTTGAGTTATCACCCACATACTAAGGTATTCGATTTTATAATTACCTTCCAAAAGAAATTAAAGACCTAAAGCGCTTCAACTTTAAGGAAAAAAAATCTATTTTAGTACACAAATGCTACTATAGTGTTGAAGAATATTTAAAGGATAATTCAATAGTGTAATATTTTAATTCTACTGTTATGTTATTCTAATTACGTTTTTTGTTTTTGACTATACATTCTTGTAATGTACACACATATGCAGTAACTACTATCTTATTTATCCTTTTGAAATCACTCGCCGTCTAACTCTATTGTTCCTTGTGTGACTGCGACATTTTTATATGAACAGAAGTTATTCTGTTCTTATCAGTCTATTCAGGAAAAGTCTTAGTTTGCTTGATTTACAAAAGTAAAACTTACTGGATCTTACGAAAATGTACTTCCAATGCCAATATTGGAACACTAGTGTGTTGTTGCGAGTATACCTACTGTGATGTAAGGTCAAGTTGGTTAACTGGAACCTAGAGGTAACTGGGTCCTATACTTCTAATTTTGTAATCCAATATTTTAAACTTCCCGCGTAAAAAAAACGAGGTGATTATTGGAAGGAAAGAGCAAGACATTAATGAAAACGAAGAAAATGGAACAATTCATCAAATGGAAGATTTAGTTAACAAAGAACAGCAAACAAATATAGTGAATGAGCAACAAGGTAAAAAGGAGTTGATGCCTGAAGACAAACCTGGACCTTCAAACACCCCAAGCAATATTTGTCTGAATCCCTTTGAAAGTCTGGTGGTTGAACTACTAAAAAATTAAAAAAAGAAATCGGAATCTCCGACACCACAAAAGAGAAGAAAGATCTGCAGAAATTATAACATCAGACTACTTACAGAAAAAGAAACTAGAAGAGAAAAATAAAAAACTGGAAGAGGAAAAAAAGAAAGCTCGAGCAGAAACCAAGTCTAAGAAAATAGCTCAAAAAGTTAACTTTACCCAAAACATAGATCCTTCGAAAGAGAAAAAACTCCAAATAAATATCAAAAAAAATATAAAATCGAAGAACACTAAAAGTGAGACCGAAAGTATTGAAGATAATTCGGAAGATTGTATAGAACTGATGTCGGATGAGGATGCAGAAAATATCGTGGCTGTCGGGGAGGGCTTGTTAGGTACAATATGGAAATGTATCCTGGAAAAGTGTTGGAAGTAAAAGACACAGAAATCATCATATCTCACATGGTAAAAAGTGGAGTGTTTGCTTGGCGTTGGCCTGAAAAGCCCGATATCTTAGCACATGACGAAATAGACATAGTAAAAGTTATCCATGAGCCCCAACAAAATAATAATTGGAGATCATATATGGTACCTGAAATGAAAAAATATCATTAAGTACTTTACATAAGTTCATACACCACTTTAGTTTAGTTGTTTCATTTGTTGTTTAAGTACTTATTTTGAATAAAGCGTTTTTTCTTCAATACTTAGAGGATTTTTAACATCTTCATTTTCTCGGCTATTTTTTAAGATAAATTATTGAAATTTTAAACGAGTATTTGTGATGCTTTACGAAACGTCCTCAAATTCCTGGGTAACTGGAATCTACTGACAAAAAAAAAATAAAAATTCCCTTGAAGCACAGAAAAACATTTCTGTTTTTAAACCGTTATTGCAGTTTATTTACAAAGGTCTAAATTGCATACCCATAGAATCTTGACCAATTTTCTTTGCAGGTTCGTCTCGTACATAGTTGCAAATTTAAGTGTTGTAAAATTAGGTTCCAGTTAACCAACTTGACCTTATAGGATTTAAAATTCCTCCGTTACAATATTTTTTTTGCGATTCTCCTTTATTAAGATGGTGAACCACAGTTTGAGAAATGCCACTCTATAAATATAAGTACAAGTACAAATTTAGACGTTTCTAATCAAACTTTGGGTCTGTACCTAATTATTATAAATAAACACTAATAAACCACAACCAAAAACATTTTATTTCTTAATAATAATTCAATATTATTCCTTTACTCGCAACTTTCAATAAAAATGTTTATGATATAATATTAGAATTTGTCAATGAAAATAATACCTATCAAGATCTAAATTATTACTTGTATCATACTCACATAATCTAATTAAAAAAAAAGTAATAGTAATAATCTTCATAATGTTCAAATGATAATAACAATAACTCAATTTATTCAAAATTTAAAGAACGGCGAGGCCAAATTCTCGAATACGGTTCTGATTAACACCTGATAAAAACGAAACAAATCTATCGATTTCTATCACCTGAGTGGAGTGTTTGTAGACACTAAAGATTGAAAAAAATGTTTGTTACGGATGAAGTTCATCATCGTGGTAATTGAAAGGTTCAAACACATCGACATATGGATACCAAAAATCACACGTGGGAGACCCCCTTTTCTGATACACGAAGCTTTTATTCCCGAATATAGGTTTATTGTTATTTATTTTCGAGATATGGGGGATAATCAATTAAATTTGGATTAACTAAATCTAATTGAGTTTAAATGTAGATTATAATGGTTTTAAAAATTGAATAGTTATTAAGATTTTCTTTTTAACCTAGTTTTTAATTTTTGTGAGTCAAGTACCTACCAGAAGATAAGTTTTGTATCATCTCCTTCACTTTTTTCTTACTTATTTTTCTTCTACATTATTATATTCTGTGTATTTCCCATTCTATTTATTTTTTAAAAATTTACGATTATAAAAATATTATTGGGTCAGAATGTCCAAAACGAACAACGACTTAAGGCAAATAATCTATCAAGAATCTAAACACTAATGCAGGCCTGCACAACATACGGCCCGCGGGCCATTGTCGTTTTTTTGGCCCTTTGTTCATTTACCAATTTTGCCCGCGTATGTCAAACTATACATTTTTCAGTATCAAAATTGCATTTATTAATTGCCTTAATAGATATCAAATCATATATCTGGTAAAACACAAAAAAACTTTACTGAATAAAACTTTGATGCAAGCATTTAGAATAAAACTTAATAATGTTTATTTTATTTAAAAAACAGCTTGTTAAAATAAACTATAAATTAATTTTTTTGAGCCCCAAGATCAACGTATTGGAGCGTTGCACTTGCGAAGAGTGGAGCAGTGGGAGATTGTGAGCATTTTTTTCAAATTTGACCTTGTTCTGATGAAAGTTCATTATTATTGTCCCTGGTTGTGAGAACAGTTGGTTTTGATTGTATGTCTCAAAAAAGGCCATTGAGAAAAATTTTGTTCTGATGCCACGCTATCATCTATTTAAAAAAAAAACTTTATTTTTATGCATGCGAAATTTGAATGAGTTTTTAATTAAAAAAAATAGACGGATTAGGTGTGTGAGGATTTTGTAAGCATTTAAAAGTTTTTGTGAATAAAATTTTAGCATATGTGAGCATTTTTGGGAAAATTGATAAGCAATCTAGTGATTATCCATTGGCAACACTGCCAGTCAGGCAAATACTTCGTGTCAATGAGGATCAAAATATTTTTATTACTAAATATTTGAGAAGGATCACTCATGTATTATTAATTATTCACTTTTTTCCTAACACATATTACCTCTAGGTATCGTTTTATATACTTTAACACTTTAACTGCCACGTGTACCAATTAACAATGTAGTCAAAGTAGGATCTGTTTTTTTAAGTATTAAGCACACAAATCCGGAAAATCAATATTTGATTATCCATTCAGAAAGATTAGAACAAAAGTTGTTTAATGTAAATCACTGCACCTACAAACTTGTTTTTTTTTTTCGATAGATAATATAATTAATATAAACATATTGATGTTAATATTAATTATTTTTATTTATGTTTATACATAATTAATATTAAATTGGTTTCGTTACTTATGATATTCTAGATTTTAAATGAATCTCTATTTGATAGATATGTTAGAGTCAGAAGTTGGAAAGGATTTTCCAGTTCTCCCACTTCATATACAGAAATTGACAGTTTTGTGGCGTAGCTAACCGAAGTGGACTCGATACATTGGCATACAAAATTATTTTATAGATTTTATTAACAATTTCGAGTAAATAGTTTAATAAATTGTTAATAGCTGTTGAAACTTTGTAGAATTGTGATAATTGTTTAATAAATATCGGCCATTTGATTTTTTTTATTACCACCATGCCGACGAATGCCGGTTTATTATTACTGCTTTATTTTATTTTATATAGATTATAGCTACCCTAACTAATAATATTTTTAAGCTTTCTTTGATACGCGGGGGGATATACGCGGGGAGGCAACTAAATAATTGAATTACAAGTCAGTCTGGAAATACATTCCCTCAAAGGGAATCGGAATGTTTTGTTTATCTTGCGGTGGTTATAGTTTACTTATTCTTTAATTCGATTATGCTAAACTTTTTATGCATACAATGTTAAATAGAGTTAATGACAAAAAATTATCACAGGCGGGTTAAAACGGAGAGTTATGGGATAAATATTATCCATTTTTGCAAAAAGCACCGGCATAACAACAATTCTGATTATTAGAATATATAGAAAAAAAAATTCGCTATGAATTATCACTCTCCTTATAAATATTTACAAAATTATAAAACAAATTTTCTCCGTCATCCGATCGCATATCGGTGCTAATCAAATTAGAAACCGAATATATAAAAGTCGATAGATCGAAAATTTCTTCGCAGTTTAGCCACAAAAAATTCGCAACCATGTACCGAGTATCCGTAATTTTGGTTCTTCTCACTATTTCGTTAAATTCCAGTTACGGAGGACCGGTGCATAAATTGGACAATGAAGAGGTGTTAGAAAATGCCCAGTTGGATTTGGGACCAGACACTGAAATTACTGTGATCAAAAACATTACAGATAACGACGGGACGAATACGACGAAAGATTTGTAAGATTTTTTATTTATTTTTTTTATGTTAAAGTCATTTGGAGTTGGTATTCATTATCAATAATTGCATCAATATTATCGTATACACAAAAAATATACTTTTTAAATAAAATATATGATTATATATATAATATATGATTATATATGATTAAATTTTGTTAAAATTGCATCAAAACACAGTGGCGTGCATATTTCACGGAATACAATATTAAACAATTTTTGGAATTATCTTTTTTCAAAGATTTCATATTATGCCATATGTTTGGTGTGTCATTGTGGGTACAGTTTTCGAATAATTAAAAGACGAATATATTAGCTAAGCAATAGTTATTGTAAATTGGCATTATTAAACTTATAATAATTTTGATAAGTGACATTTTTTTTTAATAAAACAATCAAATAGTTTACAGTGAGGAAGAAAAAGAGCAGATATTTACCTATCTAAGGTATTCGACGTTTAATTACCTAGATACTCGAAAACGGTATTAAATTAGGTTATATTTGGCGAAATATTTTTAAAATCAGGAAGAATGTCATTTCAAAAATGCTATCCCTTGAAAAAAATATAATTTTTTGTTGTATTTTTGATATAATTTTAACACAATTTATTCATAGCCGCACAACTTTTATTTAAATCAATCTTTTTTATAAATGATGCAATAATAACGATGATATAGGGTGGCTAATTTATAATGAATATACAGTACATATTCTAGGGCTTCTGTATTTGTAAAACTAGGTATTATTTTATCGTAGATTTGTGATAAAAACAGTCGTTTATGAAATTGGAATCTTGACCGACGTTGGAAATGATACAGGCTTTGATAATGAAACGTAAGTACTTGAAGTTAGTTACCTAATTTTTATTATTGAGTTTATAATCAGAAAATATGACAGATTTTTTTAGAGAAGGACATCACATTATACTTGGATGAATTCAATGTAACAGAGATTCGTAAAAAGTCTGTCACAATCTCTCTTACAATTTATCTCACAATATATTTTTAAGTCATCAGCATATAATAAGCACTTGACATCAATTTTTTTTTAAAATATCATTTTAATGAAAATGTTAAAGAATAAAGGGCCTAGATTGATACCCTGTGGAACATCAGAAGTTGCTAAATATTCAATAGACTTGAACCCATTATACATTACAAATTGCTTAAGAATCCTCAAATACGACGCAAATAAAGTTAGTAGAGAACGGGAAATACCAGAATTTAATAATTTCTTCAAGAGTATTCCGTGGTCAAGTCTATCGAAGGCTTTAGAAAAATCTGTGAAGACAATATCAGTTTATGTTTGCTTGTCAATTGCTTTAGAAATGTACTGAGAAATATTCGTTAAATTCGTAATAGTCAAGCGACCTTTCATAAATCCGTGCTGATTAGAAGAAATCAATTTATTTACATTATTGTAAAGATTATGGAGTAGAATCTCAAAAACTTTACAGAAATTGGATTTCTCAAAAACATCTGTAGTTATTTTTTCATGGTAGTCTTTAGTAGAATTTGAAACAAAGCCTCTATCAACAAATCCTTTATCTCCTCTAATATGAATGATAATTAAACGGCTACCTTTACCATTTGGAAATTTTAAGCCAATAGAGAATTTGTAACCTATTTATCTTGCCAAAATGCCCTTCACTTATCCATGTTTCATCTAAATAAAAAGTATATTTGTCTTTTCTTCTTAATTTTCTAATTTCCCTTAAATATTGCCTCCTCCAACAAATAATTTCATCTTTCTCTATGAGCGCAGATTTTCTATCGTTCTTCTCCCAAACGAAGTCTAATTCACATAAAGTATCTTTTAGCGGTTGGCAAAGTTTCGACTACATTAATGTCTACTAAAAGTTTATCCAAAGTAGGTATCTTTTTTTGTAAATAAAACGAATACACTTTTCTTCGGATCAGTTGACGTTTTACGTACTACTGTAATACTTCCATCCTTTAGATGCTTCAGAAGTCTATAAATGATTACTTCCCCAACTCCGGTCATATTTGAAAACAAGATCGTCATGTACATATACTACTAAAGTTTTCATATTTGTTTGTGCTATTTTTATTGCACAAATTCACTTGTTCAATATCGTTTTTTATCGCCTAATATTACAGAACTAACAATTCTGCGTGTTACAATCATAGGACTATACAAACAGAAATATAAATCTTAACTAAAATTATCTACAATCTGCATAACATTTTCTGCAAATTAGAAATTTTAAGCCTTTCTAAGAAAGTTGAAGGCTACTTAAATTGATCTTGAATTTTAAATATTTTCTACCTGTAGAGATTACATACTTACCTTATTTTTGTTGATTAAAATCACTAGAAAATTTAAGACAATAATTGAAATAAATTGGTATTTTTAAAAATTTTAGGAAGAAAACCAAAAATTTTATTTTAGAAATTGTCCCTCACTGATTTATGATGTTATATTGTGATTTATCTCCTGGGTCATAAAAGTTTTGCGAGCATTCATTTTCAAATAAACTGTAGGGTATTGTAACTGAAATTTTGTAGATAATTTTGTGTATTACACAATTAATTGATTTAATATTTTATTATACTTTTAAAATCAGAAAAATTACGGATGGAAGCGATACCCATTTATTAAATACACCCCAGATATTGTCAAGGCGGCAAAAAAGTGACTTTAAAAACTTCCAGAGAAATCCAAATTAAAGTACAAAATTTATTTATTTTAACAATGGTTCAACTCTAATTATACAATATACAGGGTGTATATTCGACGGACATTGCTCTATCGCAGAGATCTCTCGTTAATTGATGAGTTTTGATACAAGAACTCATGTTAAACTGACTTACAAAATGATTTAATAAAAACCACATTAAATAAGTTATTATTTTCGAAAACAGAGTTAATTTCATCGATTATGAGTACCTACATCTTTTTTTAGTTAAAGCTGTCTGAAAATATTATTGTGCCTTTATAATACATGCCAAATTTATTCAAATGGGTTTATTTTAAGGATACTTAACATCCATTTTATTATAAAATTATTAAGTTACACCAAGTAGGTATTTTACAAATTATTAAAAACAGAAATAGATTTCCAGGGGCCTCCTTTATCTCTACAGGGAACATAAAAACATAATTTATAGGCACTTGTCATTTTTATGAATTCTATCTGAAAAATCTGGGAGATTACCTACATATTTTCGGACACCTTTTCTATATTTGTAATTTAGCATTTTAAAGAAAAAATACAAGATCGAAAATCCTCTTTAATATTTTGAAATTTAAATCTCTAGACATAGATGTACAATAACTTTATTTTTTATTTTATTCTTCTTTAGACATGAACAAATAGATATAGCCTTCTTCGATCCAGAAAGCAACGGTACGTTTGTAGACCTATCCCGCATCCCCATCCCCGTCCAAACGAACGTCAGTGGCGTATCAATAACGGGGATCCTACCAGCGAATTTTGGAGATCTAGCGCTGTTAAACGATGGGACTCCTACAGTAAACGGTTCCCACTTTCCCCTATTTCCGAATAAACAAGTAAAAGTCAGTCACAATATCAGCACATACGACAAGGGTCAGAGCAATTTCATTTTGGAGGGATTGCCCGAGATATTGGGCCTCCAAGATATTTTGAAACATAATAAAAATGGCAGTTCTCAAGAGAAGAGTAACGAAGGAAGTGCTAGTGAAGAGGACGACAACAGTAAAGGGCATGACCACAGTAAAGAGGATGACCACAGTAAAGAAAATGACGACAGTAAGGAAGGTGACGACAGTAAAGAAGACAAGAGCAAAGAAAAAGATAGCGAGGAACGTAGAAAAGAATGGGAAAAGAAACTAGAAACAATAGATACAGAAGAAATTGAATAAGTTTATATTAAAAATATATTTGTTACGTTTATTTTCTTACTTTTATTTATTATTAAAATAAATGATAATCATTTGAAGTTAATAGTTCATTATTTGAAAATTACACCGAGGTGAATGGGATTTTATAGATGCTAGTTACACATTCGCCTATTTGTGTAAATATTTTAATTAATTGTGAATAGCTATTGAAATGTTGTAGAAGTAAATGATTTGGGATATTATAATATTTGTTTAAATCATTATTTCTGGCTATTACGCAATGGCCCATTACGGCCGATCGTGTATAGGATCCTTTATACAATTAGTATAAAACGTTAATCGAAGTTAGTTGCCATATATTGAAAGAAGAATTTCTTTCTTTATTATGTGGATCATAAAATTAAACACTTTCTATTTGGATTGCTGTTTATTTTCATGAAATTAATAGCATAACGCCAGTCTACAACGTAACATAACCTTAAAAGCACCTCGTGTTACGAGGTCATAAATATGCGCAGGGATTCTTTTCTTATGTGCGAACTCGACACGTTACGTGTTGAATAGAGAGAGACATTACATAAGAATCGCAGTCTGTCGATCGAAGATAGACGTCTCATCATATATTGTATTGAAAGATGGGAATCCCACTGGAATGAAACAAATAAAAGGAAATGCTTGTGACAGATTGACAACTGTCATGTGTCACCCTAAACAGTAATACCATGGTTCGTTACTGTGTCTCCTAATGTTAACATAGCGCGAAATACAAATACGCCCACATTATAAAAGTTATACAAATAAAAATTTTAAAATACATAATATACACTACATAAATTGATCAGGCCCGAGACCCGAGATGTACGTAAAACAATGTACATCCTGACATCCATGCTATAACTTTTCTGGTCCAATGTGTGGTGTGTTGCCATATGTCTTAGACTTAGATACTTTCTTTTAGTTTTTATTAAGTAATAAAATGCAACAGCACAAGGTATGAAAATGCATCATCGTATTCATGGACGTGTCTCGACTTCTTTAATACGGAACAGTGGCGTTGGCTGTATACGGTAACAGGTAAATCGTGCTATTTTTTTTGTTTTTCTTTTGAATATAACTTAATATAAAATATATACGATGGTATTCGCAAACATTTTGTAGGTTATAGAGTAGATAAGGTAAAAAAATGTTCGTTATTGTAAGAAAAAAAGGAAATCATTATTTGGCATAGAAAATATGTAACGGAAATTCGTAGATATGACAATAAAATAAGAGGAAACTTTTATTATGTGGACGAAGCCTGGTTTAATCAAGGGTATACTATTACAAAAGCTTGGAAAGATTTAGAAATTAAATATTATAGAGATGCTTTCTTACAAGGGATCTCTACGAATTGAAATTATCTTCGGCGGTTACAATTTGAAAACCAGTGAGGGGTGACAGATTACGACTTGTGGCTATAAGAAGTAGCTCACAAGGTCTAATTACAGTAAAAAAAATAGGTATCCTTAACACCTGGCGTCTTACCGAAAAACCAAAAAGGAATTATTGTTTTTTACGTCTTTTTGCCTTAGTCGTAATTTATCACGCATCACTGTTTTTAAACTTTCATTAAAATAAAGCTCAAAAATTACCTAGTACGGTACTGTCAGGTCGAAACTAAATATTTTATTTTACTTCAATAATAAAATCCGTTTATATTTATATAAGTCTATCAAATCTATCAGGCCCTATCAGGCAACCATTTCGTTTGGAATGCCTAATAAGTAGAAGATATAGGGGTCTATTCTGTAACAATTTCTTTATATTTAACGGCCTTTAAAAATATTTTCTTCTTTACTTCATTATTTAAACATTTTACATTATTTAAACGGATCTTTAAATAAAATACATTAGAGGACTATCTTAAAGAAATCTGTTTAAATAATGACAGAAGTAAATTAACGAATACGAAAATATTTTTAAAGGCCGTTAAATATAAAGGAATTGTTACAGAATAGACCCCAAATTGGTTAATAAAATTAGTATAGGCAACAATAACTACGTATTCAAGTAATATTGGTTGCATTACATATTAATCTGATCTACAAAATGTTTGTTCATTATTAACCGACTTCAAAAAAGGAGGAGGTTATCAATTCGTCGCGATATTTTTTTTTTTTTTTTTTTTTTTATGTATGTTCAGCGATTATTCTTTAACACAGTGTCTGATTTCAATGATTCTTTTTTTGTTAGAAAGGGGCTACTTCAGGGGTGGTCCCATATAAATTTAGTCAAAATCTAATAATTGGGTCCATGAGAAAATCCTCAAACTCTTCATTTTTTATGTATGTTTAGCGATAATGCTTTACCACCTTGTCCGATTTATATGATTCTTTTTTTGTTAGAAAGGGGCTACTTCAAGAGTGGTCCCATATAAATTTGGTCAAAATCTAAAAATTGGGTCCATGAGAAAATCCTCAAATTCTTCATTTTTTATGTATGTTTAGCGATAATGCTTTACCACCTTGTCCGATTTATATGATTCTTTTTTTGTTAGTAAGGGGGTACCTCAGGGGTGATCCCATATAAATTTGGTTAAGATGTGGTGATGGCATCTGCACGTTTTTGAAGTAGGTTTTTTAAATTTTTAATTTACACTTGTTTAATTGCCTCGTCTTATCTGCTATTTACATTGTTTATGATAATAAGATATGAAATATAGTTATTTAATTTTACATATTTAATATGTATTTCCCAACGTGTTGTTTACTATGTTGTGATAATAGTTTATAAAATAAATAAGAGCAGGGGCGAACGTTCTAAAGAATGGGGCAAATTAAAGGAATATGAAACGAGTAATCTTTTCTTTTTTTAAAATATTGATCCCACATAACTACACAATCCATTTATGTATATTATTATTATTATTGTATTATTATGTATCTCATTTGCTCGAGCCTGACCTGCTCCAAACTTTGAAGTTCCGAGCAAGTTCAGTGTTGCAAACCCGAACTTTGTCAATTTGTCAATGTCAATTGTCAATCACAGGATTTCATAGGCGAGTTCGGTCAGTCAGGGGCTGGAGCGGGACAAATTTTAGGGTGCTTTTAAATGACATTTAAGCGTGTTAAACTGTCACTAATCGGACTAAACCTAACGCTAAACATTGCGTTCGGTTTGCCACGTTCCTTTAACTCCTTTAACACTTTTTAACTCCAAACGACTCTTTTAGCGTTCGGTTTAGTCCGATTAGTGACAGTTTAACACGCTTAAATGTCATTTAAAAGCACCCTAAAATTTGTCCCGCTCCAGCCCCTGACTGACCGAACTCGCCTAAAAGGGTCGTTTGGAGTTAAAAGTGTTAAAGGAACTTGGCAGACCGAACGCAATGCATGTTGACATGTTATTTGTAACCTAAAAATTTTAAAATGCTAAATTTATATTTTTTTTGAAAATGTTTACTTAAAACTTCACTGAGAACATGGAAAACAAACTTAAAAAGTACGAAAAGATCGAATTCTTGGGAGAAGGACAATTCGCCACAGTCTACAAAGCCCGAGATGTAGACACCGACAATATCGTCGCCGTTAAGAAAATTAAACTAGGCAGCAGACAAGAAGCCCAAGACGGTATTAACCGGACAGCACTTAGAGAAATTAAATTGTTGCAAGAACTCCACCATGATAATATAATAGGGTTGTTAGATGTATTTGGACACATGTCCAATGTGTCTTTAGTTTTTGATTTTATGGATACAGATCTGGAAGTTATCATTAAGGATAATAGTATAATTCTTACAACGGCAAATATTAAATCGTACATACTTCAAACGCTGCAAGGTTTAGAATATTTGCATTTAAATTGGGTGCTGCACAGAGATTTGAAGCCCAATAATTTACTAGTAAATTCCAACGGGGTTTTAAAGGTAGGCGATTTTGGTTTAGCTAAATTATATGGTTCTCCTAACAGAGTAAACACCCACCAAGTGGTTACAAGGTGGTATAGAGCACCAGAATTGCTTTATGGTGCTAAACAGTACAGTACATGTATTGATATGTGGGCTGTTGGGTGTATATTAGCAGAATTATTGTTAAGGCTGCCTATTTTTCCAGGAGAGTCTGATTTAGATCAACTTACAAAGATTTTTGGAGGTAAAGTATAAATCATTCTAAATTATTTGAGATATATTGTTTTTTTTTTATAGTTTTTGGTAATCCAACAGAGGAAACCTGGCCTGGTCTGAAGAGCTTATCTGACTATATCGAGTTCAAACCATTCACGCCGATCCCTCTTAAGAATATTTTTACCGCTGCAGGTGATGATTTACTAGATTTAATTGAAGCTTTGCTGGTAATGAATCCGATAAAAAGGAAAAATTGTACTGCTTGCCTTCAAATGCCATTTTTTTCCAACAAGCCAGCACCTACAGTGGGCGACAAACTACCCTTACCTCACAGTTTAAGGACAATGAGAGATTTAGATAAACCATCATTGAAAAGGAAGCTACTGGATACAGCTGAAGGAGGCACCTTATCTAAACGGTTATTTTTTTAAAAATATTTTTTATTAGGTATTACAAATTGTATTTAATAATGAGCTTAAAGTTTTGTTTATAATTCCAATGTTAATGTTTATAATGATAATAAATTTGATGAGACTTAAATTTTATTTAAAGTTCAAACCAACGCGCCTTATGTATTTTGACATATGACTTGACATACGTCAAACAACGATGCCAAATGTTAATTTACGTTTATTCTTGTTCTTGAAAACTGAGTCCGAATATGTTTTCCTAAAGACGCAGTGGAAAATAGCGCTGCCTGAATAAATTTACTTTTATAGAAAACGGATACTGCTAAAAATATGAAAAGGGAAAACGAATGAACCATCTGCATAGGTGACAAATGTTGATCTAGTACGAATATTTCTGCTACAAACAAGCAACTGGCAACATTGTTCTAATTTGTCAAAAATCGGAAGACCACACTGTCTTGTAATTTTTAAAATAAGCAAAAGTTTTTACGTATTAAAATAAATACAAAATAATGGTAAGTATTACAACTAATTTCGCCAATCTTTAGAGCTTGTTTTTACCATTTTACATTAACATATTGTACCATAACCTCAATACACCACCAACTCGGAATCGTGTATTATATTTGTTACATTAGGAAGAAACTATATTTTTGTTTTTAGAAACCCATCATATTACAAGGGCACGAGCGTGCCATCACTCAAATCAAATACAACAGAGAGGGCGATCTTTTATTCTCAGCCTCTAAAGATAACAAGCCAGATGTGTGGTTCTCACTAAATGGCGAAAGATTGGGTACTTTTAACGGCCATCAGGGAGCTGTATGGTGTATAGATGTAGATTGGACATCCACTAGGTTTATGTCAGGTGCTGGTGACAACACTTGCAAAATATGGGATTGTGAAACAGGTAAAAAATTATTCTTACAAGACAAACAACATAACTCTTTGATTTATTTCATTTTTTAGGTAAAGAACTGGGTAATATACAGTCGGCATCATCTGTTAGGACATGCTTGTTCAGTTATTCAGCCAATATGGCTGTTTATACAACAGATAAGGCTATGAAACAGCCTTGCGAGATGTTTGTTATTGATACAAGGACTATAGATGATAGTATAGGAAGTCAGCAGCCTATTCTTAGAATACCAATCTCCGGACCTAGGATATCCTCAATTTTATGGGATAATTTAGATGAGAGTATCATCACAGGACATGAAAATGGTGAATTAATAACATGGGATCTAAAAACTGGCAAACAGCTAAATAAAGTAAAGGAACATGATGGTCTTATTAACGATATGCAGTGGAACAAGGACCAAACCATGTTTATAACTGCTTCTAAAGATCACACAGCCAAACTCTTTGATGCCACAGATTTAATGTTACTCAAGACTTACAAAACTGAAAGACCAGTCAATTCAGCTGCTATCAGCCCCATTTTGGATCATGTAGTAGTTGGTGGTGGGCAAGATGCTATGGATGTAACCACTACTTCTGCTAGAATAGGAAAATTCGATTCCAGGTTAGTATGTCAAACTAAATTTTCAGCTTATGACAGTTGTCAAAATAGGCAATTCTGACAACAGTTGATTTACTTTTTAAACAAGAAAAGTGATTTGGTTAATATTTTTAGATTCTTCCACATGGTTTTTGAAGAAGAGTTCGGTAGAGTTAAGGGTCATTTTGGTCCAATAAACAGTGTGGCATTCCATCCTGATGGAAAGAGTTACAGTTCTGGGGGAGAAGATGGTTTTGTTAGAGTTCATACTTTTGATTCATCCTATTTTGAATACAACTTTGACTATTAAAAATGAACTATTACATAGAGAATGGAGTTGATTTAAATAAAATTTATATCCAGCAGAATTTTGTTTTATTTTTGACTTTTGTTATGAAACATCACATATCTGGAAGAGTGAACTAGTGCTCTCTTCTCAAAACTATTTAATGTCAGGTAACAGGGACTCAAGTTAAAACATTCTGTTCTCCAGAAAATATAAAGTTTAGATATTAATACCAGCACTATAAAAAAAATTCTGATTTACCACCTTTATGCCAATTCACTGCATTTTAACAAAAGGTATTAGACTCAAACCTTTGATGCCAATTGAGAGAGCTTAAAATTCTGACTTAAAACATATCTAAATTTTGCAAAATTGTGACTGAAGCCCTTTGTACCTGATTTTAAAGAATTCACCTGTCACAAATCAACGGTCAACGCCGAGCCGTGTTTAGAAATTTAAGTTCTATAATGGTTAAAGAGAAACTGATATTCTCCGAATTATCTTAAATTCTTTGGAAAGGGGCCCATTAGCAACACTGCAGATGTAGTAGATTTGTCGGATCTGAATAAACAAATGCTCCAAAGGAAAAAAATGGGTTGGAAGTTTACATTTAAACGATTCAAAGCAGTTCAAGTGTACAATTTTCTTTTTAAGACGGAATTTGCACGCCAGGAAATTCATAACAAAAACTACAAATTAACTAAGTTGTCAATAGATGGCGATTAGATGCACTTCTACGAAATAATTCAAATGTTGAATTATAACTGCCTGTTTGCCAAGTTGTGTAAACTACTTTCCGGCGACCCGACAAGCGTCCCCTCCCTCCCAAATCTAAAGTGCTCGTAACATTTTATTGTACCGCCGGACGAGACGAACACTACATTAAATTAGAATATCGAACCTATAGGGACCGTATTTAAATAATTTTGTCCACGACCACAATAAGTCAATATTCTACCTCCTAACTAAAAGCATATAGTACCCATATATCACGGAGTGAATTATGATAATTCACGCTTTTGTAATTCTGGCACATTCCGGTAGATAACTAAAGATAGGCGATATTTTCTAGATCGAAAAATCAAAAAATCGAAATTCGAAAATTGTAGAAAATATTATTTGAATTAACTTTTATTCAAAGAATTTTCTTCTACAACCGTAAATAACAAATATATTCCATAAAATATAAAAATGACCCCCTATAAAGTACCCCCAAGTGCCAACTGTGCTCAAAATCTAATCAGTTCACCGCAGGCCGGAATAAGACTTAATTTTAAAATTTGGTATTTTTCTGTTCATCCGTTCATGAGTTATCGAGTATACAGACACACACACAGACAGCATCGCGAAAATAGTCAAAACGGATTCAGGGGATCCCAAAAAGTAAAAATCCGTCAAAAAATCGATGTCGAAAAAAATCATGATTACTATACTTTCCTTATCTGTATACAGATAGGAAAGTAAAAAAACATACAATGTAAACAAAAATACAGAAGAGATAATAATAATAAAAATAAAATTTAAACTATGCTGCAATAATCAGTGGGATAAATTTATTGTATTTTCAATAAATATTTTAAGTACTTTTTCAGTTGATTTTAAGAATATAAATTGGCTTAAAAGTTTGCTCTTACTTTTAACTCTTCTCAACTAATTTGTGAACCCACAAATGCATTTGAAAGGCCAGGATCGATGTTTTCACATGCATCTTGTTCCCATTTTCACGTAAATCCAGCCAGAAAAAACAAAACTCAACATTATATTTAATATCTGACAAATTACGTTCTTATATTTTGTAATATAAAATTGAAACATTTTACAAAATCTCTACACGTTTTAAATGTTTCTCCAAAACCAGACTTAACACAATTTACCTAATTTTTGTAATAAAATAACGAACTTCCTTGCTTCCGATACTTCATAACAATATGACAACGTTGCTCGATATAAAATTGATATTTTCAGGTGGCGTCATCTATATAAGATTGCCTGAACCTAAAATTACAGGGATTACACCTGTTTTATGTAATGTTGGTTGCGTTTTTTGGATTAAAATTAAAAATTTTTGTGCATATAAGACTGGAAAATGAAAGCAAAAAATGAAATATTTCTTATGCGGAGCCTCTAATGGGAATATATTCTAGTTCCTGAAATAGTTTCTATAGCGATTTATGATGACTTTTTTACATGTAAAATTTTCACAAATTCGTTATTTTCTTCATTCTCTCAATTTTTTCCACTTTAAAATATATTCAGGAACTAGTTCAATACTATTAGAATATTATAAAAGCAAATCCGCATAAATTCATTGTCTAGAAAGCCCGTCTTATATGTTGAAAAATTCTCCTATGCTAATACATTTGCTAACGCCGCCTCAAGAAATAATTTTTAATACACTTTTGTTATTAATGATTGTTCAACTAGAGGTAGAAATCTTTATCGAGCTCTCAAAGATGGCACACCCCATACCTTACTCATTGATAAAAAGCCTGCCAGCTGTGGTATGCAACTACGCAGTTTGTTTGGGCTTTTATAGGTATGTCGACTTTCCTTGGATAGTCACCCATCCAAGTACTTACTGCGGGCGGGCTCGCTTGGCCACAGATATCAATACACACTAGTGAACCTGCTAAGCTGGGCCACTGCCCAATACCTGGTCTTGAACTAGTGATCTTATAAAATAGTGTATTATCTCTATTCATTATTATCACTTACAATCAAAGATAAAGACCCTAGTTCAGTAAATTATATTTACCCTGTAACAGGTATTGGAAGGTAACAAAATCACCAAATAAAACAAAACAGTTTATTGACATGATAACAAATATCGTGCGCTCAGAAAATATATTAAAATATGTACATACGAGGATGTTGGCAAAATAGTCACTACAATCAATTGGAAATAATATTAAATCCAATCTTAAGAAATCAACTTTTGGTCTTTGGCGGGGAAAGCGACAGGCTTGCCGCCGATTACGATAGACGGCCCAACGTAGTAGCGCACCAACAAGCTGGAACCCCTCTTCAACTGCTGCTTGCTGGACAAATCGTAGTAGCAATCCACCCAAGAGCTGTAATGGGGCATAAAGGTTGGTGAACCGGCTTTCAAGCCGGAATTGGTCACTGCCATGCAGTTGGATATGACTTGGAACGGATACGTGATGGCTGTGGATAGGAACGTCATCGTGGCAGATGTGTACACTTTCAAATCCTTTTCCTCTATGATGTAGGTATTGATGGCGTAGGTGAGCGAGCTGGCGAGGAGCAAAGACAGGATGTCGCCTAATAATCTGGGGATTAGACCACTGAAGAAGCCCAGCATACCGTTTTCGCGGTATATTTCTTTTACTGAACCGAAAATGCCGCTGAAATTTAACAATAAAAATTAGTAATGAATGTAATACAAGAGTTCTAGTGGCCTTGCAAATTCCTTACTATTTACTTAAGTAATCTAAATTTTCTCTGTAATCTCTGGAACCCTCAAAATTCGTTTCAATAATATAAAAAAAAGTTTTGAAGGTATATAAAAAAAAACATGGACTGTCACAGAAACAATTATTACTGCTGAAATACTACCAGAATTTTCATAAAAATCAAATAAAAAATAACGGCTCTAGAAATATCCAGTTTTGTGGGTGTCTGGTTTGTTTTTAAGTCAAAAGTAAACTGGGTAAATTTCAAAAAGTTTTCTTAAATACATAGCAATATTTTTAACATTTATTATACAATTATGAGAGATTGAAACACTATTTAAGCATACCTTCTCTAGTAGATCATATGAAAACAAAGATTTTACCTTATAATTCAATATTATAATTGACAGATGTAACTGCCATGACATTGCCAGAATCAATCTTTTAGTACCGTCATGTACTAGTAGACAAATACCAAAACAAATACAAACATTTCATCTGCCTTTTTACCCTTATAATAATTATGCTTTTAATACATTTATTAGACTAGGTAATTATCTTAATGTTCTACAACTTTTTGACAGTTCTGTTCAGAAATTTGAGAACCACTTACTTAAATTGAATATTTAAATGTCATGTGCAACCTCCTATTTTGTATTAGGTATTGTATTATGTTACATGAAATATTTTTCTTATTTTCTATGTTAGCACTATTTTATTGTATTTTAACCAAATTGGGCTTTGCAAATAAATAAATATTTAATTTACTTAAATCTCACATTCTCCCTTTTAAAGTTGCACATTATAATTCATCAGTAATTATAATTTACTTTTACTATATATTATTTAACTAACATGTCGACTACCATGAAAAGTTGTAGTGTTCTCATTTGTACACTTAATTAAATAAAAAAGTTAGATACTTACTTGTATTTGGTCTCTCTCCCAATAAACTGGGCCATCATCCTTACTGTAACAACATGGAATGGTTGGCTAACAACAATAGCTGCAGTATGTGTCATTATATCACATTTCATACTTCTTACGAAGTTTCTTCTCCTACAAATAACAACCACGTTAGATAAATAATGTACTTGTTACAAATAAAAACGTACTTTTGTTCATCCGTGGGTTCTTCATCGAAATCATCTTCATTTGGAGGTTCTAAGTAATCAAGAAGTCTCTGGGAAGCTATAGCCGACATTAAGTTTCCACATACTTTGGGCGTCAAACCATTATAGCACCCCATAAAACCATCTACATTCTTTATATATTTCACTACAAAAAAAAAGTTATCAAAGTTACCACTTGCATGTAATGTAGAAAAACAGTACCATATTCAAAGATATTGGGCAATTTCAGAGCGGGTTTTCCAAAAAGGGTTTTTGCAGGTCTAGGAGGGACTGGTTCGTAGCCGATCTGAAACAAATTTGTGTTAAACTTTTCCCAAAATATTTGTGTCAAAAATTGGTCAACTAACCTGTATGAGGACTTTTGCATATTCGAATGGATGTGATACTGTGTTAATGATTATTCTCAATGCATAATTTGACCAGCGGTTTTCTTTATGTTTTGACATGTTTTAAAATCACGGTTTTTTTCGTAAAAATGTATTTGATATAATATAAAGGACTTCACTTAACTGTCAAAAACCGCGGCCGACCCGGACCACGCCAGTTTTTTATGACTGGATCTCCAAAAAAACTAATACTTGAAAATGCGTTTACAGCAAATCTTTAAATCACATATAATGTCAAATGATTGCGTTGCGTATAAATATGCATACAAATATGCATGCAATTGATTATTTATTAATTTAAATTAAGCAATAAATTGAATCGGAAATTTAAATTTATTTAGAAAATTTAGTTTCTTTATGTTGGTCACAATACAATGTTGTCAATTTCTTCTTATTTATTGTCTCTACCTTAAAAAAATTAAAAATAAAAATTAGAAAAAAATTATTTTCATTTTTTGAAATTGTTTTTTATTTTAAGAAGTAATGTATTGCTGCGTTTGAGAATCCACATCGGATGCATCTGAGATGTAAAAAATCTTTGATCACGTGATTCAGTATACGTAAATGTAATGGGACAGATGTGTCCGATGTGGATAAAAAAACGCTCGAGATGTAAAAAATGCATCCGATGTGGATTCTCAAACGCGGCATATGTATTAATTAAATTATTTTATGTTTTTTACAAGTAAAAGTAGAGTACCTAAAGAGCACAAAACAAGAAGAGAAAGCAGTCAACAATTGTTGCCAAAATTAAATAATAAATTTTCAATAATCCTGAGACAAATGATTTCCTTTTTGGGTGAAAACCCCAATAAAAACGGACGTTTTAATAAAATTTTGACGTTTCGTGATGAAAGGAATGTCGACGTACCCAAAGTTCACATATTTTGATGAATAATTAGTTTGACCAAAGGTACAGAAAAAAATCCATACTTTCACCATTTCAAATTTAGCGCCGCATACTGTCACTGTTCAATTTTCAACAAGTGCATTGTGGACTATGAATGGTGGATCGTTTTTATCATTGTACGAATTATTTCAGTATTTAGATAATTATAATTACTAATAACTCAAAACTTCCACCAAATAATTCAAGTGAAAATTGTGATATGCTATTTAGGATTAGTGGATTTGTGTTCGTGACTCGTGAAAATTTGATAAAACACCTATTTCGGGGTCATTTTAAATGAACTTAACCCAACGTATTCTTAAAAGTTTTTAAAAGGTGGGCATTTTAAATAGTAACCTTATAGGCTCTATTATAAATAAAACTACAGTTTTCAAATAAAAAAATAACTGTGTACTTTTATTTTGATAGATTAAGCATGTTTTTTTTTTTAATTTTAAATGACTACAGATAAGTCGATTTGCTAAACTAAAATTACTATGTGTTATTTTTAATGTTAAATCAATTTTAGGAGAATACGATTATACTATCTTTTTCAGGACAACCTATCATGTTTTGGAAATACAATACGACTTCTTCCTCACAAATTGAGGCTTTGCTATCCAAAGAGGTGAATATAATGTTAAAAAATGTTTTATATTTTGCTTTACCGTCTGTTTTTCTTTGTAGGATGTTACTTTACAGGAAGTTATGGACTCTGATGATATCATTAATGAATGCAGGGTTCAAAATAAGCTCCTCATCGATTTGTAAGTAAATTTCGATTAGATACAAATGGAATTTTGCATTTCAAAGTAAATATGAGTAAATAAGTATGTGTAAAGTAAGTAGAGGGGTATAAGATTGCGAGTTCGTATTTTAGAAAGAATATGGGCAATGGTGGTGTTTTTACATTGACCAATCTCAACATGCAGTTATTAATTGAGATTGGTTCTATTGAAAAATGCTTTGAATGCAAAGCTATAACATGTAAGGTAGTAGTAATAAGACAAGCATCATTCTTGCTATTTATGAAAGACAGGATTTAGATTTTGGCATATTTCTGTAAAATCTGAACATAACATTAGAAAACTTGTCTAAACTTTATCATAGTTATAATATATGAAATTTTGTGGGGATTGTTTTGGAGAGGTTTAACAAACTATGTATTTGGTGTATATAATATACATGTATGGGCAATTGAAACTTCAGCCAGAATTAACAGGTGCCTGGATAATATGTACAAATATTAATCGATCTATAACAGTAAAGTCATTAATAACTATGTTAGTGGTCATCAAAATGCTCAGATACTAAGTATTACTCTAGATCAAGTTCTTATACTATAAAGAGCTCAGCATCACAAATAATATTACTCAATTTGTTATATGAAAATTAAAGACAGAAAATTGGTAAGGTCTGCATCAGTCTAATGATACTGATAAGTTTGAATTATTTTAAAAAACTTTCAAATACTACTTTGATATAACTTTTCCAGTCAAACTTAAAATAAAACTAGTAATAACAGAAATAAATATAAACCCTGTCTAGCAAAAGGCCTTTGAAGTTTTTACAGTAGATAAAAATTAAGTTACAAAAAGAATATATATACAATTTCTGCAGAATGCAATTTACATTTAAAAGAATATAGGGATGTATTAAAGAAATCAATATATTTTTGTTTACATTACCCATTAAACGACAAATTAGTTTTATGAAAAGAAATGGCAAATAATTCTGTTTCTGAAACTATAGGGTTGGTATCTAAAAAGAAACCATAGACAGTAATTCAGGAAGTTTATTGAAATTATTAAGAAAAGCCTTCTAGTCTCTAGCAAAAATCTAAAAAATGGGGAGGAGTAGGGCATCCAAATGGGGGACTATAAGCCACCTGCGCTTCAGTGCCGCTATGAGAATCTCAAAAGGAAGGAAAGCAGACTGAACCCCAAGCTTGATTGAGAGGAGCCAGTGGCTGGACCCAACTCTGATTGGGGGAGTCTGCTGGAACCTCTCAGGTGGGAGCAGAGGAATGTCTGAAAGGGTGAAAAAAAAATTCTGTGACTATGAGCTTTATTGCTGTGTAAACCAGTTCAGCATATATTACTCTCAGATTTTTTACTATATATTTGACTCATTTTTAGAAAAAAGAGACTTATTTTGCTCTGTGCTCTTCATATCACTTATTAGTCTGTGTGCCAAGATTTTGGAAAAAATATATGCCTCAATGTGTAACATCCTTTAACAAGTATAAACTATTTAATAACAATCAGTATGGATTTAGAAAAGGACTTTCCACATCTAATGCCACAATTAAGTTCCTGGATTTGGTGAATTTTATTTTAGATAAAGGAAATAAAACCATTGGTACATTCTTAGACCTAAGCAATTTTGATCGAGTAGATCATCATATATTGTTAATTAAATTCAGTTGGTATGGTTTTGGAGCTGTTGCTTACTCTTGGTTTGAGAGCTACCTATACCAAAGATCTCTCTATGTTGCTATTAACCAAACTAAATCCAACCAAATTAGATGTGAAATTGGGATACCAAGAGGTTCTATTTTAGGGTTACTACTACAAAATTCCATAACAGATGCAGATGATACATAATTTCTGATAAATGGAAAAAATATTTTTTTAATTAAAAATGCAAGTAATGTAGTATTAAAGGCACAACAATGGTTTATAAAAAATAACTTTATTTGTAATAGCAACAAATAATTCAACTATGCCAATTCATGTTCTAATTCTAGCCTTCTAATTAAACAATCTAGAGGACCAGGAATTGTCACATTAATAAATTAAGCAAAAAACTGTATCAAAATTCTACAGCATATAACGACTCAGTAAAATTATTGACATAAAGGTGTTAATAATGTACCTATTATTTTTCTCAATTTCATTCCATTATAGGTATTGTATGGAAGTCGCCTTATGCATGTAGAATCTTTGTACTACAAAAAAGGGCAGTGAGTTAACCAAAAAACCAGTTGTAGGGATAGTTCTACCACTCTCAGGATTCTTACCATGCCATCCTTTTATATTTTCTAATTCTTGTGTATGTGAAAATAAGCATATCCTCTTTTGCAAGTGTAAGTAACAATGTCCACAATATAAGAAATGCATCTATTTTAGAAAAATTGGTCCATGGCTGCTCTAAAACTGAAATTTGCCTGATATATATGGGTATCAAAATATACAATAACCTACCCACTGTTATATAAGCACTGCCATTGCCCAGGTTTAAAACAAAATAAAAAAATAATTCTGAGAAAAGTCTACTACTCTGTGGATGAATTCCTGAGTGAAAAAAAGTTAATTTATTACTTAATTTTCTTGTTTAAATTCTGTAGGCCTTGAAAACCATTACTAATTAGTGTTTCTGTGCTGTTTTTAGGGTTCCGTACCTGAAGGATAACCAACAGTTGAAATTTTCACAGAATGTGTATTTCTGTGAAAGGGAAATTCCCTTCTAGAAACATATTTTTTGGCCTTTCTTATTGGATCTGGATCTTAATAAAGTATTTAATTTTAATAAAACACTACCTACAAAGTATTAAATCTTGTACGATGGTGCGGAACCCTTCATGCGCGAGTCCGACTCGCACTTGGCTGATTTTTTTGTTTTTGTAATTTACTTGAGATGACTTTGTGAAACATGACTTGCTCCATATCATTTAAATATGATCTGCGAAACCAATAAACTATTTTTATTATTATGAAATCAACATAAAATGTTTCAGCCTGCAAAGGACTGAGGTGATGGAGGAGCTGGTGACTCTAATAACAAAGGAACCGTCAATTGAAATAGAAGAGAGAAGTAGATTTAAGTATCCAAATGTCGCCTGCGAGTTGCTCACTTGCGACGTGCCCGCTTTGAACGAGAGATTGGCTAGTGATAAAGTGCTTCTTGACAAATTGTATACTTTCCTGGAATGTGATACCCCACTGAACCCGCTGTTAGCTTCTTATTTTAGCAAAGTCATGGGTGCCCTTATTGCAAAGAAGACTGAGCAGGTTTGTTTGAGTTCAAAAAGAGTTTTATTAGAGTTCAGGATTGTCTTTTACTTTTTTATGGAGTGTACAGTGTGATGTAGTTTTTTGTTGTTACCAATATTTTGTTGTTACCAATATTTTGTTGCACTAAATAAATAATTATAAAGAGAATGTAAATATAGATAGTCTCAAAAAATTACATAATATCTTCATACAAATAGATCAAAAATATGTTTCCATAAATATGTTACATTCAAAGAAAAAATATTAAAAATCATTTTATTAATTATTTGCAAAACATTGATGAAAATTGGATCTTAAAATATATTATAAAACGTTTCAGATTTAATATAGAATGGAGGAGAAACTATATTTTTCGAATGTAAAATAAAGCTTATGAAGTATATTGACATTTAGATATCCAGAACACTCCTAAAATATTTTTAAGAACAAATTTTAGGTAGCAGACTTAAAAAAAGCACAACACTGAACTGACTAATTTTTGTTACAAATTTCTTTTGCTACCATTATTTTTTTAATAATATTTACATATAGTTTTGAAACTTTACTAAATATTTCAAGAGTTACAAAACAAATATTTCCATAATTATATTTATAGCAACGATCTTGTGCTAATTTATTACATGATATAGATGAATATATTGTTAGTAATTAAATTTTTAATAAATCAAAATTTTCTTTCGCGTCATGAAAATGGGCGCCCATATTGAAGTAAATCAACAGGATTCGATAATTTTAAATTAATTTTGTATTAATTTTTATCAATTTTTATTAATTTAATTTTTATTGATTTATTAAATTATTGATTGATTTATTTATTGATTGATTTATTGATTTGATTTGATTAATGAATTTGATTGATTTGATTGATTTGATTGATTTGATTGATTTGATTGATTTGATTTATTTGATTGATTTGATTGATTTGATTGATTTGATTGATTTGATTGATTTGATTGATTTGATTGATTTGATTGATTTGATTGATTGATTGATTGATTGATTGATTTGATTGATTTGATTGATTGATTTGATTGATTGATTTGATTGATTGATTTGATTGATTGATTTGATTGATTTGATTGATTGATTGATTGATTTGATTGATTTGATTGATTTGATTGATTTGATTGATTTGATTGATTTGATTGATTTGATTGATTTGATTGATTTGATTGATTTGATTGATTTGATTGATTTGATTGATTTGATTGATTTGATTGATTTGATTGATTTGATTGATTTGATTGATTTGATTGATTTGATTGATTTGATTGATTGATTGATTTGATTGATTGATTTATTGATTTATTGATTGATTTATTGATTGATTGATTGATTTATTGATTGATTGATTTATTGATTGATTTATTGATCGATCGATTGATTGATTTATTGATTGATTTATTGATTGATTTGATTGATTTGATTGATTTGATTGATTTGATTGATTTGATTGATTTGATTGATTTGATTGATTTGATTGATTTGATTGATTTGATTGATTTGATTGATTTGATTGATTTGATTGATTTGATTGATTTGATTGATTTGATTGATTTGATTGATTTGATTGATTTATTGATTTATTGATTGATTTATTCATTTGACTTATTTATTTATTTATTAATAGCACTAGTACTAGATATAATTTCATAATATAACAAAGTTTTCTTCCTTCTTTTTATCTCTATTCCACCTCCAAAAACCAACCAACCAAAAACATACAAAATGGTGTATGTGGGTAACGAAAATGTCGTCGTATCCTTGGAACAACTCGAACATATAAACACATTATGGATCGCGCAGAACTGGTTATCCTATCAGTTCACTTGCTTACAGGTCCTTGACTTTTTAAAGGCTAAGGACACCTTTATATCGTTACTGCTCAAGCACATTGGCACATCGGCCATTATGGATCTCATGCTCAAACTGATGACGCAAGTCGAGGGAGTGGAAATGAATCAGAACATATTGAACGTGAGTATTTTTCTTATTATTTCTTTCGGATTTTGTACTACCTTTGATTTTTTTGGTGGTTTTATAGTGGTTGGACAGCCAGAGAGTGGTCCAATCTTTGGTATCTCTGTTGAGTCCGAAAGTGGACAGAGAGAGACACTACAACGTTGCTCAATTGCTGTGTGATTTCATCAGGATAGCTAGGGATAATCAGAAGAATTCCGTAGAACGGGTTGATCCCGATCCATTACTCAATACATTAGAATCGTAAGTGCAAATGCCTCGCGTTTTTTTTTGTCCCACATTTACTTATAAAATTATCTGTGTAGATCCGAAACTGTATCGTTGCTCCTCGACTACATCCTGGTGGGGGACGAGAAGAGCGAGACGGCCATCGTGGCCGGCATCCAAGTACTTTTGGCCTTGCTGGACATTAGTCAAAACGGCGTGACCAAGTTTAGTTCGACGCAAAATTTGTACGGGTCTAACGTCAACGACGAGTCCAGTGATAGCGAGCAAAAGCAGAAAAGCGTGTTAAGTACCACTCAGGTGATTAAGGATAGGATAAAGGACTTCCATAATTTGCTAATCGATCCGCCAAAGGTAAGAAACAACACTAAATCCAGACGCTCGACGCATAAACATTTTAAAAACATAATCTATAACAAGGAGAGATGGTTAAAGACCACACTAATGGACCATTTGTCAAACCTCTCTTGTAACATCCTGCCAGATTAAGTAGAAAATTACATGATTGGTTGAACCAATTGGAAGGCATGAAATATGTGTGGCAAGATGCATTCAAATCAAGTTGTTTTGTTATTCTAACAATATTCCATTCCATCATAAAATCTAGTATAGTTTACAACTGCATGAGTTAAGTGAATGCAGTTGTGAACACACTTGTAACTTTATTTAATATATTAATAAATTAATATATACAAAAATCCAACATTATTTCCCAAGAACATTTATTAAAACCTCCATGTAATACTTCAAAAAAAGGAATGAATTTGATGAATACAGTGTTTAATCTTCTAAAATAATTTTTATATAATGTTGCTAATTCTAAGAAATCAAAAGACCAGGCGGGCAACCGCATTTATTTAATTATTTAAATTTCCTTTTAGCAAGACGCCGTACTGACCACCGTCGGCATCCTGAACCCGCCCCTCGGTAATACCCGCCTCCAAGTTACCAAGCTGTTCGCTGCTCTTATAGCTTTCAATAATGAGGAGCTGTTGAGCAAATTCGAAGCTGCCAACACATTCACTGTATTACTCGATTTGTTCTTTACGTACCAATGGAATAATTTCCTGCACACCCAAGTGGAGAATTGCCTTATAGCCGCCCTCAGGGGCTACACCGCTTCCGAAGACTGCAATGACAAGAGTAATGCCTTAAGTAAACACGTAAGTTTCTAATATACACATTTTTTGATTGTCTTGGACCCGATTTGAGCTTAGGACTTAGGAAATCAGTGGTAGTGGGCGCGTTACTTGAAAGGTACACTTGTCGAGCAATCAGACAAAATCAGATTGTTTTTTTAAATAGTGTTTTTTTAATAAAAAATTACGTCGCAGTGATATACCTAAAATATATTGTTTTCTATAAATTTGCATTTAAGTGATTTAACATTGCAATTAAATGTTTTTGTAGTTTTGAATCTTAATTTATATTACAATTATTTAGCATTTTATTAGTTGAAGAGACTAATTCAACAATTCTCTATACATTTTTCAGAAACTATACATTTTTCAGAAACTATACATTTTTCAGTAACAAATTTGCATTTAGGTTTTTTTTAGAAGCTCGACCAGCAGGAATTGGTGCAGAAATTATGAGCTGATAACCTTTTTTTTTATAGAAAAGCTGGGCTGAGTTGTGCAGGCCTGCTCTATTGATTGCATACGTATTATAAAATTTGTTCTAGTTTTGCGGTAAAATATATTTTTTAATGCTTAATTCTCGTCTATTGTATTTTTAATTAGAATTACGTGTTTTAGATGACATTTAACGCATTTCAATTGTTTTCTCTCGATTTTTAAGTATTTTTTTGTATTATTTGTTTTATTTAGATTTTTTGGCTATTTTATGATGAATTTATAATATGTTACACTTAATACTTGTAACGACTAATTCAATACTTTTCTAATGATTCCTGTTCGTATATAGTAGATATTCTAGTTTCGCGGTTAAAAACATTATTTAATAATTAATTAATTAACGTCTATTGCATTTTTTAATCAGAATTACGTGTTTTAAATGGTATTTAAGTTGTTTTTATCGTTTTTTAAATATTTTTACGTTTTTTTACTAGGTATTTAACATTTTAATACTTGAAACAACTAACTCAGGTAATAATTTCTTTGAGGCTAATTACTTTCAGCAATTTGTTATACTAAGAGTTACAATACATGGTGTTCCACTATAAAGTAAACACATTTTAGCAGCTTATAAGTCTAGAATAGAAAAAGATATCGACATGCAGTTTTCAGTCAACTTCAAAATAGTTATACTCAAGATATATTTGTATATTATTTTTCTAACGCGTTGATATGCTATATGTTTAAACAATTATTTTCTATAATTTTTTGTTTTGTTTCAGTTGTTGTTACAATGTAAGGTTATTGAAAGAATTTTGAGCGCTTGGAAAGAAAATGATGAACAACAGTGAGTATATATTTAATATTTTTCAATTATTACACTATTCTTTTTATTTTAATTACAATAGTTTTAATTTTCCGTATCTTTTTTCAAATTTCTATATATCTTTTCTAACCAGATCGCAAGAAAAGGGCGTTCGTAAAGGGTACATGGGCCATCTGATAAGCATAATGAATAAAATCGTAGATCTGTGTGACACGTCCTTCGGCCAATTCCTCAAAGACAACCTTCCCGACGTCGCCAAATCGTTAGACGAATTCAAGGAGACGACCCTTAACGAGACCAACAAACTGCAGGAGACTCTACTAGTAAGCACACCAATCACACAATCTCGATTTTTTTATTTCGTTAAAAAAAGAAAGAAAGACAGGAATCAGTGACGTCGTTTCGGTAAGGGGCCATGCTGAAATTTTTTTAGATATTTAATACTGTTGATAAGAAAAAAAGAGACAAGTTTAATGTTACAATCGGTCGAGCAATGTGGGAAAAGAAAGCAAAGAATTTCAGCGTGGTCCTATCATAGCGCTAATTTGAATTTTGCTACTATAAAAACTAAGTAGGTGGGGTTTTATAATAAGCCATATTTACTTTAAAATGTTAAGGTTTTAAAAGATGAAGAAAATGAGACAAGTAAAATAAATTTTATAAAATCACGCTAGACTTCCTGAAATAGTGATATTAACATTCTAGCCAAAATTCTCCGCTCTATAATCATTATTTTAACGTGCTTAGACTTTAATGCGTTGTAAATTATTTTTATCATTTTAATTTCCATTTTACAATAAATAATAGTAGAATAAATGAAGACATAACACAACCTCAAAAAAATATTAATATAATTAATTACTTAAAAGTCTTATTTTTGATGTCATTGAAGAAAAACTATAATCAATACACACTTCATAGTAATAATTAATAAACGATTCTTTAACATACCAATGAACACATAATTACGAACTATGGACATTTATAATGCAAATAATTGAGAAAAATCATCAATCATCAGTTTATTAATTAAGGACCAGTCTTTTCACCTGTCAGTAAAAATAAAGGTTGCTGATTAAGCTATTGGTTCTAGTTTGTTAATCTGCCCACAATGTGTACTCCGAGGCGAAAAAATCAACTCTAATGCATAATGCATGTTTGTAAAGTCGTGACTCATCTGTGAGACATGTTATAATACTGGTGTATACCCTTGTAAAACATTTATGACTGTTTATATTTTATATAACTACGGCTCCTAATAGATATACAAAGTTTGGTGAAAAATGGTTTATTAATTGGTTAGTAAAAGCAGCATATTATAGAAGCATAAAAAATATTACTATCATTAAAAAAATAAATTTCATCAATTTAGACAAAAGACAACAACATTGCATAAAACACATTTAAAAAAAAAAGAGCTCATGTAAAGAAAGAAAAACACAAAAATTTTTAAAACAAAAACAGAAACATAAAAATATAAAAACAAGAACATATAAAATATATAAAAACGTGTAATAACATATTATAAAAGCATCTAAAAATATATAAACCACAATCTTTACAAAAAGTTTTTTGTTTTTAATTATAGCTTTTTTTGCAACCTTCCTCCTGCTGAAATATTTTATAGCATTCACTACATCTTTTCTACATTTTCTTGCTTGTCCTTCGTACTTCCTTATTCTATGATTTATTTTACTACGCTTTCTTTTCTTTGCTTGCTCGACATTTTCTTCTGTAACTTTTTCTTTGCCATCTTTAACACCTAAATTATTAGTACCAATTTTGTCTTCCAATAACGTATCAATATTTTTTTGCTGCAAGTTAACATCTGATCAGAGACATCAATGCCTTTCCTGGCCGCGTTATAATTAATTATGGTAAAGGTTTTTTAATTTTTCCCCCTACGATTTTTGGTGCCGGTTGCTATTTTTTTTGCATTCTTTTTGAAATTAGTGACAAATTTTCTTTGAAAACACGCCCTTTTTCATATTCATGACCAATTATCCTCGACCCTTTTCAATTTTTTTATGCAAAATTGGGTCTTCCAAATTTAATAAATTTAAAACTTGCATTTTTTTAACCGACTTCAAAAAAGGAGGAGGTTATCAATTCGTCGCGATATTTTTTGTTTATGTATGTTCAGCGATAATTCTTTTTTTGTTAGAAAGGGATACTTCAGGGATGGTCCCATATAAATTTGGTCAAAATCTAATAATTAGGTCCATGAGAAAATCTTCAAACTCTTCATTTTTTATGTATATTTAGCGATAATTCTTTACCACCTTGTCCGATGTCTATGATTCTTTTTTGTTAGTAAGGGGGTACCTCAGGGGTGGTTCCATCTTTAGTTAAGTTGTGGTGATGGCATCTGCACGATTTTGAAGTCGTTTTTTTTTTTAATTACTTTTAATACTTGTTAGGTAATTTATTTCGGGACGTACATAATTGTTGGTCGTATCTTTACCTTATTTTTTTTTTGTTATTACTCTACTTTTCAGAAGATTTTTATTTTTGCTATACGCTTTATTTCCTTTAAGGAGCCTTTCTTTTGCTCGCTCCCTTCCTGGTTGCTCCTAATGAGATCACTATTTTTAATTAGTATGTTTGCATATTACTTTCTTCTCTTCCTACTTTCATCTATTTTGTTTTCTTCTGGTTAATTTCCATTATACGTTGTCTAGCTTCTTAATCTCATTCTATCTATCGCTCGTATCAGTTTTTTTCTCGAGTCACTATTAGGTTAAACAGGGTTGGAAAAATTGAGTCTCCTTGTTTAACTCCTTTTTTTATGTGTTAATATGTGATAAATTCGAGATGTATTGGTTAGTCTTTCGTTTATTTTTTGTTCCTCCATGTCTCCTTCTAAGTATTTGAATATTTTGATTAGCTTTATTTTGTAGCCTTTTTTATTTTCCTGGTATCATGACTTTTGTTTCCTATATATTTTATGTTTCTGTTTTTTAACTCCATTTATCCAAGTTTACTTTAACTCTTCACTATTGGCACAAATCATTATGTCTAAGTGGACTTACTTTGTATTATTCTACAAGTACTGTAGTTGTTTCTTTATTATTTCATCTATTATTATAAACAATGTCTAATTATGAACTCCTCCTTGCCTTGTTGTTGATGTATAGGATGTTTAGATGATTAATTGGCTTTCTCATTATATTATACCGTCTGGAATTATGTCGAATGCTTTGTCTATATCAAAAGAGGCTATAAATATTTCTTAATATTTACTTATTCTAATTGTTACTTGTGTTTTTAGAGCAATCTTGTATGTCTCATTTGCAAGTGTGTGTTCAATCTGACCTTTTTTCTTTTTTTTTATATATACAACTTGAAATTTTTTTCTGTAATCTATTTTTTAATTTTAGGGCGGAGTTCATCCAAACAGCTCCGTGGATGATAACGACGATTACGGAGACATCCCGTTCCCGCAGTCGGGCGCTCTTCAGCAACAGGTAATAGAGATTTATATATATTATCCGTATTCAGAAATGTTTTTCTAACGGTTTTAGATGTTTTTCCAATATCAGATGCAAAATTTGACTTCGCAGTTCATCGACGGCTACAGCGGATTCAACGATGACGCTTTCAATGACGGCGACGATACGTTGCAGTAAGTAAATAACGATTTTTCCTTCTACGAATTACTAAAATTGTATATCTTTATAAATTTTTAGAACTATCGATCATAGGACGGATATGAACTTCGATCCGTCGGAGGGTGATTTAGTGCAGCAACAGGAAATCTTTAAGCAGGTGTGCGCGCAAAGCATCAACACATTAGATGACGCCGATGATCAAATATTTGACGAAAGAGAGCACACATTTCAAACGGTGATAGAGAAAAATGACAGGAATGAAGCAGTTTACAGCAGCGATAGCGATGAGGATCTACCGGCCGGTGATGACAATATGGACGTTGATCGTAAGGAAACTATCACAAATATATTTAAATCATGCTCTTTTCCAAATTTAATTCTTATAAATTTCGCTTTTTCCTAATTTATAACAGATTTTTTTAAGGTAGTTCACTTGCGACAATCGTACATAAAAATATCGCCCTATGGTGAATACCAAAAGTTCGAGATTATTAATGCTAAAGAAAGGAAATTTTTGTAAGAGACTGTACACAACACATGTAATCTTATATATCGGGTGTTCAAATTAAAGTGTTACAGTTAAATACCGCCGAAAATATGCATTTTAGAAAAAAAAATTTATAGTTTTTTGGGGGAAACATTTTGGCTAAATTAATTTTTTTATAGCTGACCATAATATGGCCATATCGAGGTGGACTTTGTTTTTTTAAATGGGTATCCCATTTTTTTACATATTCTTAAAGTACATAAAAAAATAAAAAACTTTTGATGAAAATATTTTTTTTATTGAACTTTTACTTTTTGAGTAACAGCTACTTGAAAATTTTGCTGGGCGAAAAAAAAAGTTGACCATACTATCGTTAGCTATAAAAAACGATTTTAGCCAAAAAATTTTCCCCACAAAACTATAAAACTTTCGTCTGAAACGTTGTTTTTTATAAAAGGCAGTATATAGCTGTAACACTTTAATTTGAACACCCGGTATACAGATATGTTGTTATTATATCGCATTAAATCCATCCGGCAACGTCGCAAATATATTGTGAAACGTCCTAAAGTGAAATAAATGTAAATATCAAAATATTTCATTGTCAGGATCAATTGTTATGCAATCATTATCTTTTCTAAATTCATTACATGTTCCAATATTTTACAAAATTTGCCTTTTTTCAAATGTAATGAAAATTTTCTTCACTATTTGTCTTTTTTATCTAAATCTTGTTCTTTTTCAAATTTTAGAAACATTTTCCTACGACTCTTCAAATTTTTGTGCTAATCTTACCCAAGTTCATTACAAATTTTTCTCAACTATGTCACATTTCTAAAATTATACAGAGAATTTTGTCACACAATTATTCTAAAACCAGTGTTGACTTCAAAATGTTTCTTACATACTCCGTGAATTTTATTATTGGTAAAATAAATTGTATTTCTCTTCAGCCACACTTGTGGGACCAGGAATTTGGGGCCTGAGGGAAAGAGATGGAAGGAGTCGTGGTTAATATCTAAGAGTGCGCTATATTTCATAGGATTGTAAGGGTGATTATAGACATCAAGACTATTTCCCTGTCTGCATTAGTGACAGAAGGGGACACAATAGATCTTTTATTTAGGTCACAGTGCATTAATATCTCATACATAACATGTGAGAGGTTGCCATCATTTGCCAATTGCTATGAGAAAACCTCTGAAAATGCGAGGCAAATGCGCTTCCTTCGATTTTTAGAACATTAAACATTTGAACCAAAATTATGTAAACTTTGATATTATCGCAGCTGCTGATCGGCAACGCCTACTCTCTTTTAGCTTGGACGTCCCCCAAACCCTCCACTACCAACGAAGCCCCGCCATCTTTCCCCGCCGGCGACCCTTGGTCGTCGAAATTCAGCCACCCTCCACCGACGGAAGACAACAACACGTGCAGCGGATGGGCCGATTTCAGCTCCGTCTCGTTCGAGGCCAATTTCACGAATTTTAACGAAGCGTCCAGCCACCAACGTTTCGCCGACGACGACGTAAACAAGGATGGCGATTCGAAAATGGGACATTTTAGGAGCGTGGGTGGGGAAAACGGCGAGAAGGAAAAGAAGACGATTAACTGTATTGAGGGCGTGACTCAATCGGAAGGTGTGGTGGATGTGAAAAGCGCAGCCGGTGCTACGGGTGACGCCGGGTTGATGATTGCCAGTGAACTGAAGGACGAGAAGAAAATGGAAAATTTGGAGGGGAGCACTGTGATCGAACAGTCCAAGTGAGTTTTTAAATATTCCACATTGATTTTTATGGAATTTATATTAATTTAATTTATATTTATTAATTTAATTTATATTAATTAATATGAATTTATATAAATTTATATGAGTTTATATGAATTTATACGAACTTAAATGAATTTATAGGGATTTAAATTAATGTATTTGAATTAATATGAATTTATACGAATTTAAAAGAATTTATATGCATTTATATAAGTTTATATGAATTTATACGAAACTATACGAATTTAAATGAATTTATAGGCATTTAAATTAATATGAATTTATATGACTTTATACGAATTTAAATGAATTAATATGCATTTAAATGAATATATATGAATTTATATAAATTTATATGAATTTGTATGAATTTATTTGGATATTACTTTTGTTTGTAACCCGTCCACTTTATACAGTATTTTTTTTTATTTCCCATTTTAGAAGCATAGATGCATCCAATACTGTACAGCCCCCCGTTGCGTCCACTACGAACAGTGAAAAGGAAAAAGTTTGAGCAATGTTCCACATATCACACGGGAACCTAATATGTAATCTTAAAGTACTGTAAATTAATTTGAAAAAAAGCAAAAAACAAACGCAAAAAACAATTTTAAAAATCATAGAATAATTGACTGCCTCCCAACGAGTGCGGGCGGCGGGTGCGTAGACACGGCTAGAAAAAAAATTCTACACGTCATTACTCGGACGACTAAATAATCCCAATTATTATTTTTATTTATACATTTATATATTCGATATTTATTCATATTTAAGTGTATTTATTTTTGTTTTTTAAAGTAAAAAAAAACGTTTTAAGTATGTACTCTAGTGTGCTGCTCTGAAAATATAGAAAATAACATTTTGTAATTTTGGTTCCTATTTTGTGTCAAGGTCGCCAAGAATGTAAATGTCCACAACAAAAAGTTAATTGCAAAAATATATGAAATTATAAAAATAGTTTTATATTATATATTTATTAAAAAAAGATTAGAGATCTCCACGCATAATGATTCCTGAATGTTCTTAACCTCAAAGTTTGTAACTGTTGTATTTTCGTTCAAATGCGTCGAAATTTAGAAACTATAATTATTTTTTCTTACGAGGCTGGTTCGCTAAGTATTTGATAAGTTCGTTAATATACAGGAGAAAAAGAGTAGGGCCCATGACACTAGCGTGTAGTATACCGAAATATACGAAATGTGGCTAGATAAAACAGAATGAATGCTATTAAATCGTTTATTACTTTTCTTTCTAATTTTAACTTTATCACCTTCTATATAATTCATCCCTCCACTATCTCTACACCACTACATGCTAATTGTCCATTAGCAGTAGCATTCATCATCATTTTTCAAAAGCATGTCAATTGTCTATAGCTTTTTCTTTGATAAGCTCTACTGTCTCAAATCTGACTTCTTCCAGAGCTGATTTGACTGGGTAATAAAAAAGTCAATTGAGGCTACTTCCAGTGATTATGGTGGATATTCTAATAAGGGGATCTAAATACTTGGCCAAAAACTGACAGAGAGTGCAGTCTGGGGTGCAGCGTTCTCCTTGTGAAGAAATCTTGCCCTTATTCTGTTGAAATCTATTTTGTGACAGCATAAATACTACAGAGTGTTTTTCGGACCAATGTTACCTGTTTTTGAGGTGCAAGATCGTCCTGGGTGCGAATCATCAATGATCCATTATCGTCACTGGTTGATTACTCAAAAACCTGAGTACATGATATATATTTAATTCCATATCCTTCTTTCAATAAAGTATACGTTCCTATGGCGGATTTTCCGAGTTTCACAAAGAATTTTATATTGACATGTTCCTTGAACACATACATTTCCAGCAAAGCACAGATTGAACGAAGACCAATTTAAGTGGAGTTCACCTTTATGATGATAGCAATAGAGAGATGTCACGTGATACTCTGGTGTTCCGTTTGACCTTGACGCCCTCATGAAAAAACAAGTCAAAACGTACCTGTATTTCGGAAATCGCCAAAAATTCATATGATTTTAGTGAAATCACTCATGATTTCAAAGGATTTTGCTGAAATCCTACTTTCGGTGATTTCGCTGCTATTGCCATTAATTTTATACCATTTAGAAGATTTCGGCAAAATCATTTTATATAATTTCCTATGAATTATCTTCTTGAATATTCAAATGGCCTTTCTTTTTTGGGGCTCTTCAGTTATGGTTTTTGATCCACTTGTTTTTTTTGCTGATGACTTCGTCCATGATTTTTGGTGTTCATTTCGCGAATTTCGAAAGAATTTGTACCTTCAAGAGTGGTTCACCCCTAGCTCTCACTGTTTGTCTGAAGCGGAACGATCAGTCCGGTTTTTTCTATCCACAAACTTCTCGAGAAGCTGACGGATTTTGTTAGAAAAACATCAATCTTGGCAACACTGTCAGTACATTGATGGGCGCCGTTTCAATGTGAGTCCAGGTACTTAGCGAACCATCCTCGTTTTAAAGCACAAACAATTCATTTAATCGATGCTTGACTGATTCGTTTTTTGGCTGGTTCAGAAAACGTCATCATCATTATTATTAGAATTATTGCATATTCAAAAAATGTATTACATATTCGTCTAGCAATATTTAATAAAATTCTGATTTACAATTAAAAATATGAAATACATTTTTATATCATTATTATTAAGATTTAAATTACCGCTTGATAACTATATAAAAGACAGTTGCTCGAAAATTGCATATCTCTGAGACGTTTTTCAAAAAATTTAATAAATCAACCTTCTAGTAACAGATGCGTCAAACTTCAATTTTATATCAAATTTAATTGTCTGTTGTCAAATGCCAATTGTCTTATGTCAAATTTAATTGTCTTGTCGAATGTCAAATGCCAATTTTCAAATGTCAAATTAACCATAAACAGTTTTTTTGTTCAAGTCTGTACAGAGTATTTTTTTATTAATTTTTTGAGATCATTTGACTTTAATTTGCATTCTATTGGTTATATATCGATTTTGATGATCCATTATAACATAATATTGATATTGTGACAGTTCTACATTGATCAATACTGTGTCAAATAGAATTCGAGGCGTTATGTACGATTAATTTTATTGAGTATTTTGGCCTTTTATATTGATTGTTAAGATGATTTTTTTATTAAGAAAAAGATCTCCGTGAAGTGCAATATTATTTTCAAACTTTCTGTGTTTTTGGTTTGTATAAGTCCTGTCGTTTAGATTAAGGCTCTTTTTTTAACGTATAATTTCATGCGAATGTCAAATTATGTAATCTTTAACACGGGTCGCTCTGATGAGTTAGAATCACCAGCGATTTAAAAAAAAAAAGTTTGCTGTTTCTTCACTTTAATATCCTTTTATCATAACAATATCTCGTTATTACTGTCTTCCTCTTCCAAATTTCTATCCGATGTACACATGATTGTCTTGTTGGCTTTTATAAATTAAAATCTGGGATATAGTCGTCATGTTTTCGTCCACCTGTCTTAGTTGTCAAAGAAGTGTTAAAAAGTTGCATAGCCTTGAACTAATGACCGGACTATTGACAGATCTTCGTATAGTTTTGTTTAAATCATCATATAATTGTATTTGTCATTCATTATGTTATCGGTTAATTTAATTGCATTTTGGAAGCAAATGTATATAAGATACGTTTTTTTTTAACTGACAGCAATGCATTTTTCCCCTCTTGTTTCCAATCAAAAAATGTTTTAATATTGGTATAAGAACTGTCAATTGTCTTCAATTTAATGCCGAATCATGTTGATTGATTACTTTTTTTTATAAAGCAGGGGGTGTTACTAGAAAGACAAACTAGAAAATGTGATAATTTTACGAAAAAATATCTTACTTATCTTGATGTGTGTTATTTTTATTTTAAGAAGAAAATACAAATTTTAAAATCGCCTTTTCTGATTTAATTATTAATTTTCGTTCCTTAGAAGTGAGTATTCGAATAGTTGACAGGGTGTTAATAATTTTAATAAAGTTTATTCGATCGGTATTATTTGTACTTAAAACTAAAAAAAGTATGAAAATATCTTTGTAAGGCTACAACACCCTGTATAATATCGTGTTCATGTTGTTAAACGAAATCAGTGAAACAACAAAAATTTGTGTGTTGTGCTTGGGCGAGAATTTAGAGACGAGACTTTAAAAATACACGTCTACAGGGCGTACCACTAAAATTTCCCGAAATATTTTTACAGTGCGATTTTATTGGGATGCTCTGTACAGTAAAATTGCTTCCGAATTATTTTTCGTTAAGATGACTGGCATAATAATAGTTAGCCACATTTTTTAGATAAAAAAAATAGTAGATTAAATTTTAATGTAATTTTGGCTGTATGTAATAAATAATATGATAGGTGACGCAAAATATTTAATTTTTAAAACGGATTTTTAATTAAAAATCTACTCTTTTATTGTTTATATAATTTCTTTTCTGTATAAAACGCCTAGTGTTACGAAATTCGAATGTTTGCTTAATCGGTACGTCACCTATCATTTTAGCGCCTTTTTTGAACTGTTTTCCAAAGAATGTTTCTGGGAACACCCAGCCTAGTTGAATTAAAATGGATTTTGTGCACTGGTGTTTGAAAAAACAAGCTAAACTATTCAAACGATTTAATAATATGTATCATTGCATTTGAATAAAAACACAAATCGGTAATACTAGGATTTTTCGTAAATTTCGCAATACCGAATTTATTATAATTTAGAGAATTTTGTACATCAAATTGTCAAATTTAATTAATTCACTTAACAATCACTTATAACTGCTTGAATGATTATTTTCTATTAATAGATTATTTTAGATTAATAAATTATTTTCGAATAATCGATTATTTAATTAAATAATCGATTATTAATCGTTTAGTCGATTTTTTAAATATTCATTATTTTTGATTTTTCGATTATTTTTCGTTAACAGATTTTTTTTTTTTTAATAATTGATTTTTAATTTTTTGTGATTTTCGATTATTTTCGATGAATGGATGATTTTGTATGAATCGATTAAAGAACTAATTCGATTAATCGATTATGTTCTATTAATCGATTTTCGAGTATCCATTATTTTCAATTAATCTGTTATTTTCGAGGAATCGATGATTTTCTTTGAATCGATTATTCCTCTATTTCGATCAATGGATTATTTCTATTTATCGATTATTTTGATTAATCTCTTATTTCGTATTCTATTATAATCGATTGTTTCGATTATTCGAACAATCGATTATATTCGATTAATCGAAAATAATCGATTATTTTAAATAATCGACTGTTTATTTTGATAAACGCTTGGCGCTACTCATAACCGATATTGACAATTCCGCTTAGCAAATTTGTTGGCATTCTAAAAAAAGCATGGATGACAATTTTATTTAACAGCTGGGTCAAAAATACTTTTGTCACTCCTAATTAACATTGACAGCTACAGCCTTGACAATTTTGTCAAAAAAGCGTTCTTAAATTACATATTTAAATTCCACAAATGGGTTTCAAATATTGCAAGAAAAATGCCTTATAGCTTATTTTTTTGTATTTATTTTTTAATAATCGGCACAAAGTCCATTTTGTTACATAATTGTGATATAAAACCCTTATCTCCAAGCAAACTTTAGCATGTTAGTTACTTTATTGTGCCTGTAAACTGTAATCAGAATTTTAAATAAAAAAATAATCAGAATTTAAGCAAATACAGAATAATAAATTGTATTCATCGAAAATCGTAGGTATTTTTGAAACTGCAAGGTAAAAGGTATGTTTGAACTACTCGTATGGTATTGATACGATCTTGGGAATGGTGGTGTCAAAATGTTCCAGCAGAATTAGTTTTTTTTTTAATATTTCGAATCCCAGATACTCTTTCTTTGAATTATTTGTAATAAAGTTGATTTTGGAACAATTTGAATTAGATATATGATAGATTTATTGACAGAATAGACAACAAAACAATAACAATCTCTGTTAATGACGCAGAAATCAAATAGGCGTATTTTTTAGTAAAATTTGACAATATTGATGTCACTTATCTGTCAATATAAGAAGTCTTAAAAACTTAACAAAAATGACATATGACAGCTGTTTGATGCAAATATGCGATTCCGCATAAAGTTATACAACTTTTTTACAGAATAATGATTATCCTGTGTCACAATAAATAATCTGGTGGGCAAATCTTCCATGAGATTCGAAATATTGATAATCCACCTTACAGTAGTTCAAATATTTTTCCTTTTATGATTATCCTTCCTTTGGATGAACTGAAGCGAGCTTAGTTTCATTTGTCGAAATCCGAAAGGACACACTTAAATTGTATGTTTTCAAGTTTAATATACACATACATTTTGCTGGACAGTTAAATGATACATGTTCTTCCACGGTATTTTGACAGATTTTGGATATCGATATATGCGAAATAATTACACCTGCTAACTATTTCGAATGTTATTTCTGTGGACATATATTATGGCCACAGAAAAAAAACAAAAATGGTCAAATCTAATGATCATGAAGGCCTTCCCTTCGAATTATTAATTTCTCAGTGAAATGGATATGATTCTCAAAATATATCTGTAAAATGGGTAGTTGGCAGATATTGACCTCTAAAATGTGTCAAAATTCGGCGAGATACCATGTACTTGTACAGTCGAGAGTACAAAATAGTGTTTTTCATATAAAATATGACCAATGTGTTAGTTGAGTATATATTATAGTTTTTTTTCTTAGTGTATGTTCACAATTATTAAATTCTGTGATCGCGCTGGTCTATATAAAATTAAAAAAATCATTATCATTGGGTTGGTTTTTGCAGCAGTTTATAAATTTGCAAACGGTTTTGCAGACTAGAAGCATCTGCAAAAACAAACCTATCATCTACCTAAATTTATGAAGAGATCGTTTACAATTAAAAAGTTCTTTCTATCGAAGTGTTATTTGTCGCATGTTCCTGTATAAAAATGATCTTCGATGTTGTCATGACATCATCGTAGATGGCGTTAGAAATTTGACATGCCAAAGAATTCAATACGCTATATTAGTGACGTAATTTGTGCTTAAATGACAATGACACTAGACTTTTTTCAATTAGACATTAAAAATATTTTGGTTACATTTCTTTAAATTACTTTTTAGGACCTGCAAACAATATTAAATACGTATATGTCCATTTCAATGACAGTATTTTGTTTTTGTTAAAAGTCAACTG